GTAATGGCGGAGTCACTGACTGACCGGTGGTTGAGAGCTGAGGTACTGACCGCGGTTGGGAGGTGATGAATAAGGACTACAGTTAAGTTGGAGAACACTCAGGCCAGTAAATAGGCCGAAATATTGCCCACGTACGCTGCATGCTCAAATTATGATTTGCATGGTGTAGTTTTCAGAACCGTTAAATGTATTTGGCTCAGGGTCCTTATTCTGAGTCAGGGGCGGATCCAGCTTTGTTTCAAGGAGGTTTAGCTGTCATGGGGTTTAACAGGCACGTGCAGACGTGCTACCTTTTTTTCTGCATGATTTTTATATTTTTGCAGCCCAAATGGGAGGTTATATGCCCTCCCCCTAACTCCTCCCCACCCAAGATTGACCAGGACAGTATCAGCTTTGGAGAAGATCTGATGATAATTCGTCACAAATGCAACCCTACTGGCGAGGGGCCTCAGCAGAACCATGCACGGGTCGTAAATATTTTGAGGGAAATTTCGAGCTTGTTTTTTACTGCTTTGATTTTGGACTTGGTTCGGTCGTAGCTACACAGTAGCTGTGTAGTGTTTTAGTGTAACCTACACTAAAACACTGCATTGGCAAAACGATGCCGATACCACAGTGGTGACATTTTGATGATAAAAATGTCTGCAACAGTAACAGCAGACAGCAGTGTTTGATGTATCATCCTCGGTATAGTGAAACATGACCGGTCCCCCCATGGACGCACTGTCTGATCCAGCATTCGGTCACGACATTTTAACATTTGAAACCGATATTGGCCGAGACGTGCTTGACATGCGAACAGGCACTGGTTCAGTATTAGCAGCTCAACATAGCAGACTGGCTCAGTAGCAGTGTTAGGTTACGGGTTTCTTGTTGTTTGTTCAACAGTTGTTATCATCAGATGGCGCGGCTGGGACGAACAGAAGCGGGGAGGGAGAACATTCCGATGGATGCCTGCCAGCTGGGGAGGCAGGGATGAGGGAGGCTAGGGAAAAGGTAGCATGAAGACTGATTGAGGAGGATGCCCTGAGATGGTGGCACGGTCAAGGATCAGATGTGACCCGGGTTCGAATCCTGCAAGTGCACACGCATGGAGTGGGTGTCGAGTCCCTGTCTGTTATTATAGTTTTCCCAGGGAATTTCTCCGTAACCCTCTCATTAGGTTTTTCCAGGTTTGCGAGTTACATTGCCTGTACGCCTTTGTGGAGCTCTGACCAGAAAGATACCCAATAAATACGTTAGACCTAAGATAAAATCGTGAAGCTTAGTAAGCAGATATTGAAGCCAAAAAAGAAGGGTTAGAAAAAGGTTGAGTGATCAGCACAGCATGCACCTTAAAGCCACCGAGTGAGCAGCCACCAAGCCGACTTAAGATTACTTACCACCCCCTTCAGTATCCCTGAAGAATTAAAATTTCTCCTTACAAGAAAGGGTTTATTTATCATGAGATTTGAAGGTTTGCATGGTGGAAAGATACTAAGACAAGATAAGTTTGCGGTAGCACCATGTGAATAAATCTCTTTTGTGAGTATGTGTGGTTCTGAAAAGAACCAGAGCTTCTTTTCAGAACCACACATACTCATAAAAGAGATTTATTCACATGGTGCTACCGCAAACTTATCTTGTCTTTGGTTTATTTATCATAAACCTGTACAGATTTTCAATGATGAAAATGACAAATTCGTAACCGAATGCCGAGATAAAAGCAATCTGGTTGCAGTAACGAGCTCTATTGTATCAGGATTTGCTACCAGCCGCTGAGATTATGGATATTGTTGTGTCAGTAGTATAAGCAAAGTGTAAATCCTGCAGAAATACAGCTTTTCTATAAGTTACCGATTTTGTATTCAAGTGGAAATGTCAGTCCCTCTACCCCAGCTGGACAAGCAATAATACAACTAAGGATTCACTGACTACACACATATACAAATTAACGTGATAATGGCGTTGACATGAATGTAAAGTTGCAGACATGTCCGGAGCCGGAGTGGAATCGGACTCACAGAATCTCCCTGGAGTGTAAAATCGTCTCATCGCCGTTTTTTTCTCGACCTTTCATGTCAGAACGTCTACTTTTCAAATCGCCTAGATCCCCGAAGCTCTAAGAAGGACATTGTGTAGGCGTTAATTCCCTCACATAAGAAATACCCAACTCCAATCGGTCAAGCACCCGGCCCGCCCCCTCCAGGAACTTGACACGCCCCTGCGTGGGCAGGGAACCGACAGTGCTGCTTATAAAGGCAGTGTAGTATGACTACTTAACTACTGGAGCACAGAACTAGACATTCATATAAGGATCGTACATCAAGCGAATTATGTCATTATGATGGATTGTCTCTATATGCGGTTTATGAGTTATGACATACGCTTATGGACGGGACAGCTGCTCGGAGCATCCGCGGTTTACCGACATGATGCACCGCATGGTAAAACCCGCTGCACGGAAGAAATGACATTCCTTCGATAAGGGAAGACTGGAACACCAAATGTCTAATAATGTTACCTCTTTAAGGTTTTTTTTTTCAATAATTGAATCGTTATATGTCTTTCATTTAATATTATTTCACTTTTTATTTTTGCAGTGGGAACCGTCGAAAATAGAGATATCAAAATATGTACACCGTCTCCGGCTCCGGTAATGTCTACCTGATCGTAATATGATCACTTTGTTTGTCAAATGATGAAGTATCACGCGATGACGATATTACTTCCAATTTTGTTCAAGGACCTTTTTTTCTCGTTCTAGTCTGAAAGGTGTATGAACCTAGGCATAAGATGACGTATTGTGAGCCTAGAAATAAGATGGATTTATAACTGCATCATTTTTAAGGTAATTCAGTCAATGGCTTTTGACTGCATGTTCTCATGTACAGGGCCCTCACCCATATTGGTATGTTAGGCATTTTCAAAATTAAAAACAAAATGTATAATATTGAAAATAGTCTGCGATCGTAAATCATAAGATGACAGGCCATTCCGCGAATAGCTGCGACGGTCATCCGAGCTTAGCTGTGGCCTCTGACCTCTAACCTCCAAATATTAATAACACAAATCGCCTTGGCTGGTAACACGCCTCCGGGGTCGTGTGACCCACTGCGCACGCTGAGCACGTAAACCATCTAATTAGGTACTTGTTCTACTTTACTTGACCTCGATCGAGGCTGTATCATCGATATTATTTACAAAATATCTGAAGTGGAGGAAAGTATTGTGTTCTCTTTCTGTGTGGCATTTTTATATGTACGACAAGTTGAGTTAAACCAGCGATTCGCATTTTTCCCCTTCAATTTACCTTTAGAAGTATCGATAATTCAATCTGCACCAACGTAAACATTTTCGACGTCATAATCGTCTTGTTACTGTTTAGTTTGATCGCTCATATTGTATTTTATTTCATTTGTGTCTCATGTAGAGCAATTTTTATATTGAAAAAAGACCTTTTACTTTATTCAGTTTATCAGATATTTTGTAGAAGATCCACACGATACTGTCTTGCAAAGAATAATATTCCTTATTTTCGTTTTGTTTGTGTACGTCAATATTACCCGATACATGGAATTTATAAATGCAACTCTTTTTCCCAAATTTATTCAAGTTTTTCTTTCTGTCAATTGATAAATATAACAAGGAGAGTTACTATTACGTGGAATGGCACCTTAGGGAGACATTTCCATCTAGGATTATGTACAATATTTGTTCCAACTGTAATGACCCCCAACTCCAATTTTCCTTTATCCTAACCCCACGAATGTTGGTATATTTATGTTTTGGAATTCGAGCAATTGATCTAGCCTAATTCTGCCTCTAAATAGGAGTTGTGACATTAGGGAGACATTAAAATGTCTCCCTTATGTCTGGTGTATCCCTAATGACGAAAAAAAATGTCTCCTCAGGGGTACATTAACAGGAATTAACATATCACTTTGAACAAAGATCAATGCGCTTCACATTATTATCAAATTAAGTATTTGGAACAAGGACTTTAATTAATGGCCGACTTTCATTTTCAAAATTTCAATCTATAGTCAATACAAAGCGTAAAAATGTGGCTACCTTTCACAAGACACCAACATTGAATACAGAATGGTTTATCCAGCAGGGTAGGGCACTATGTTCATGCTGTTTGATAAAGACAACATAAGAGTTTTACATTATAATTGAAAAGATAATATCATTTAGCAAGCTGCCCATGCACTGACTAGTAAAAATGTCCCATAACCTATCGCTTACTGATAATTACACCTGTTCTTTGAATGATCTTTGCTGCCTATAGTGAGTGTTACTAGGCTATTATTCGATAATTATGTACACATCAGTGATTATGTGAATGTCTGGCACAATTAACATCGATTTTTGGTTTGGCGAATCGATCACATAACTAACTGTCCCCCGACTAAATACTGTGCTACCACATCGCTTGATGCTGTTCCCGTACAATAATAGTCAACGACAAAATTTAAGATTGCCACAAAATACACCATATTAACCACAGGCGGCCATCTTGATTTTTCATGTTCTATTTGCGGCATGTCTCATATTTACTCAATGAATAAATACCGAGTTTATCACGTTACCATGCCGATTGGACCCCACCCACGCAATGGCATAATGTCAACGGCAAAATTCGATATCTTCATAAAATATACACATTCTATTCAATAGGCGGCCATCTTGATTTTTATGTTCCAATTTCTGCGTGTGTGTTATTTACTCATTAAGTAGCTATGCGTTTACCTTTGAATTCTGACATTACGAGTGTCGCTTAATTCCATAATATTGCATCCTTGAAAACATGCATGCTGCAACACAGAGCGAGCATTCAGTTTTTAATTAAGAGTTTTCTCTCACGGCATTCGAGGCACGTTTCTCCACCGACATTTTATACGTCTCCATCTTCTTTTTCAATAACGGATGTCTTCTGATACTTTACAGCCTTCAAGGCGCAAGCAACCCGCAAGGATGACAGAGAAAAATAATAATAGAATTTGAATGCTATTTACCTGATAGATGGAGGCTTGCTAGAAGCAGCCCACAGCACCATGTTCCCCGTACCATTCTCCACAGATATCTGGCTGTTTCCCGAAGCCTACACATGTTTCTTTTCTTCTGTTTTTCCTCTTCTTGTTGTCTTGGAAGAAGACACTATCCTCGAAGCTATAGCTGCATTTCTCGTGTGTCCTCAAACGCCGACATATTCACTGTTATTTCGTCCATCGTCTTAAACAACTACAGCATCTGAAATTGTGTGAGGTCGAGAAAATAAGACAGACGGTTCCTTTAAATCTCACTTAGCATTATTTAAAAAAAAAATGGGGGATATTTCCTGACATTATTGCAGAATAGCGCAGGCTTTATTGCACGGCATGCTATGCTGCTCGTTTAGTGATGCGTAAATATAGCACGGCGTTGGCCCGGAGCTAGAAATGGGAGCACGGAGCGGGGCTGGCTGTAACAGCTGATACCGTGGTCGCGTGCGTCACGACGGCAGCACAGGGGCCGCTGAGACACGGTATATAGGGCCGCGTCGAACGCAAGAGGGCGGTCCATCGCTAGGTCGGTGTTCACATCGCGACGACCCTAACAACCTTCATAATTCACATTTTTAAAATACATGTAGTCGATGAGTATATTGGTTTACCGTATAGGCTTTCCCTTGAACGGTTCTGTGATGAGCTCGCTCACAATGAACAGATGGAAAGAAAGTTCGTCAAGTTGTTACGATGCAGTTACACTTTTCAGACATGAAGTTAGTTTCATGCGATCTTATCTTTCTAACGCGTACGGCTAGTTGCGAATGCAGTCTGTTCTTACGCAAAATTAAAGAGTTTGCAATCTGATGACTTAAAGCATGACTCCAAGCATCAGTGAAGCGATCCCACTAGGCTAGTGGTTTGGTACGATAGACCCAGTTTGAAGTTTCACGCTATAACGGCCACCAATCTCAGTTGGGTTAATTTACCTAGCTATTTAGTCCACAGCAACTATCGATCTCCATTGAAGGGTGTACATCGAGTCAGAAGGCACTGCCTGGGCTTCGCAAAGCCCGTCTCCCGAACCCCCGGATCGATGGGTTCACAATCTGTGGTTCGGACAAAGATCGCACCAAGGGGGTGAGCAAGCACTTCGAGGAGCGATAGGCAAACAAGTTGAACTCTTGTTTTGATAGTCCCAGTGTTGGCAAGACAGTGACATCTTTTGTGGTAGGAGGGAGAAGATATAGCGGTTATGATAATATGGTGGAGGTGGTGGGAGTGGTGGCGAGGATATTGATGGTGACGGCAATGATATTATGGTGATAATGATTGTGACATACGATTTAGTGGTGGTGACGGTTATATATAGTGTCGAAGGCGATTATGGTGAAGGTGATCATGGTGGTGATCATAGTCGTGGTCTAAGTAATGGTGAAGGGGGTTATAATGCATGGTGACTGTTGACGACAATGGCGCTATAGTGATATTCTTAGACGCCTGCAGTGCTGTCCATAGTTCGAAATACTTGAAATGACGCGAGTCCACAAAAAGGAGAAAGTTGCTAGGAAAGTACACTGTAAAAACGTTGGGTAAAATATTGTTGGGCAATGTAATTTACCCGACATTGGTATGAAATTACCTCATATTGGGTTGAATTGGGTAAAAACTGTCAAACTATTGAGAAGAATTTGCCCAAGAGTGTAGGCAGTTGATAATTCGACCAGCACTGGTCGAATTATCAACCCATTTTGCCCAACTTTTTTTTACAGTGTAGCATTCTGCTGAAATAGACAATTAAAATAGCCAACACACACAGGTTGGAGACACCTTACCAATGGCTGGTTCCATATGCGATTCTAGCATCCAACAATAATTCTCTCCCTTTGAATGATTAAGTTGTGCCTTTAAGTACTCACTCCTGAAAGTAATTAATACATTAAACGTCTTGTAATTATCAACATGACGGTCGCTTTAAGCTTTCGGTATTGAATCACGTTTTGCTCAAAGAGTGCAATCAGCTCATACAGTTTTAATTAGTCCTCGTTAAAGGGACTGACTTCTTCAAGCTTAATCTCCGTATGGTCTCGATGCTGCGGCAACAGTGTTGACTCGCTGGATTCTCTTTCGTTTGCTCAGTGACTGAAGTATAATTACCAAAACGGAGCCTGATATTTACCTACCAATTTACTGTGTTTGCAATGCTACGGCAGAGTGTCACACATGGACTCTTGGATATTGACAATTGTGCGATTGAAGATGTTGTGTGCAACATGACTGTGCTGCTGGGAAAAGGCCGTTATAATGCAATCAGGCGTTGTAGAGTGAGAATTTAATTAGCTTTTGGGAATTTGAACGTGCTGGATGCTCTTGATTTGAAGACGTATCCTCGAAAACAAAGTATTGTTTTAAATAAGGCACTACTCAAACCTCAACCGGTTGCTGTTCAATTCTATCCGTCGTAGAACAGCAGGGCATCTTGGAATGTCTGCGGACGTGCGCAAAACCATCTCGTTAACCCTAAAGGGGCCGGGTTATTTTGACCATCTTTCAGCCGGGGGGGGGGGGCGGATTCCGCCCCCCCCCCTAAGATCTCGGCCATCGAGTGACGAAAAATTTTGAAACTCGGCACATGCATAGAGCAACTCTTCCTAAACATACCCAAGAAATTTCATGACTATAGGTCAAAGGGTTTTGGAATAATGGCTAATTAATTATTCATATGTACGAATGGCAATTCTGCTCTGTGTACACGACGTATATGCGAAAATTCAGTTTTCACCGGAAAATTTTTCGCTACGCGGCAACCCGTGGTCCGATTTTTATGTTTTTGGTATCAAAAGATGCGCAAAGCTCTAGGCTAAAAAGTCAGAAAAGCTCGGGTCGCGAAAAAAATTTTTTTAGAAGCTATCACGGAAAATGTTGAGGGGGGGGCGGATTCCGCCCCCCCCCCGGCCCCTTTAGGGTTAAGGCATACCGAACTGCAGTCAACGAAACACAAAATGACGGTTTTGTCTACTTATTTGCAACAGAAACAGGGCGAGAAATGTGATGCATAGATCCGCTCGTGGGCGCCCGGCAGTGTACTTAAGATCCATGTCATACGCTGAAAATATTCCAGTCGAATTTTCTAGAAATGAATGATATTTAATAAGTGTCGCTTAGGGCTTTCCACCATGCGCTTCACAGTTATTGCCTTTGTTTATCAGGCTACTTTTTTGCTGCAACCGCGTCAGCGCAATCTGGTCTCTACCCTCACAGGTACCCATTTTATACTTCTGTGTGGAGAGAGGAAATTGTAGTAAAGCGTCTTGCCCAAGGACACAAGCACCATTTTCTACGTAAGGGTTCGAACCCGTGTACCATGGCACAGTGGGTCAAACACCGTAGCTACTGGACCACAACGCTCCAGAAAACAGTCCTTGTATACCCAGCTGATCCTGTCTGTCATGTCTGTAGTCAGCCTGGCCTGGTGCAAACTTGACTGTTTTGTAGTCAGATCTTACTAGGTGTTATTATGGCATAGAACTGCTTAGCTGGAAATACAACTCAGAAAAAGCCATAAGCAAAAATGATTGCGCGACATTTGGCTGTTACGTATAAACGGTTTAACCATGCGATTTTTAGGGGGGGGGGCGGCGTGGTATAATAACTTTGCGGGAAGAGAGATGTGCCATCCAGCTGAGACGCTTCATAAATAATCATGAAATATATGTGCAGGTGTTATCAAATTACTATAAAAGCCCGCAGCAAATTATGATTCAATTCGATTTATATAACAGTGACACCTACTTGATTTGATCCATTTATAACGGTAAACCAAACTGACGTATTATTACCGCTTTATAGGCGTCACCTTCACTTTTTATGACTCACCTTAAAATCAGTTTAAACAAAAATAGGCAATGTAAATCCAGTTTCGTCAAGTCACCCCGGCCGAATTGCAAGCAGTCTGACCGTACCGTACCGGTAAGCCAATCTTCCGAGAATCTGACTCTGATGAATCTGATGAGTGCAACGCCCGTGGCCGTCGTCAATCCCCGGAGCAAGGCGTGAGGAGGAGGCGTTACCCGGTGACGGTGTAAGTGGCGGTGATGAGTTGCTGTCAGTGATATCCTATGGAGATTTAGCAAAGGCAAATTGATGACAGTCTTCCAACATTAAACTACTGCCAAAATCCATTATAAAAAAAATAGTGCTGTAGGCCTAATATTGGCGTGGACCTTTGACGGCTGACTTCAACTTGAATCAGATCTTGTCTTCTCTTTCTTCAAATTTAGCCGAATCCTTCAGTCTTGGAATTCCTCAGAGGTACATGTAACAGTTTCAATCAGCGGTATCATGCTTGATTGGACTGTTACTTGCATCTGTCAGTGGTTACTTAAGTGCCACCTTGCCATCGTCACTGAGTGATAAACGCAGCATCATTACTCGTCCTTGCTAGTGTCTCGGATTCTATACCGTGCCAGCATAAATAATCACCGATGATGATACATCAAAACGTGATGACAAAAGGGAGTCTTTACCTCTGAGGGGGTCGATTCTCAAGTAAAAGTGTCTATTTTGTGTGAGAGTTGAGAGCTGTGCAACCGTAACGGAATCTTACACAATTGGTCTCGAGACAGGTCCACAAAAACACCACACTCTACCGAAACCCTATATAGCCGTGTTATTGTCAGCAATGCCTTGGTATAACGTCTCCAAAAGATCTCTGGCCGGGATTGCATACCAAGAGGGATATTTTCCAGCGGATCACTGCAGGAGCCCCTGAGGGGTTGGCGCAGTATTGTCGGTGGCAGTTTGATCTTAAATCCTGGTCGATACAAGTCGGTCGGTAGATTGTGAATGAGGACTTGCAGAATAATCTCATCTTTACAAAACGTTGTCTCGGTGTGCCATGCAGGTGGTAAGAAGACTATTATTATTAGAGAGGATTACCACCTGATTTAAGATGCTGCATGAAAATAATGATGAGATGTTTGCTATGGTACCTCCATTATTGCAAACGCGCAAACATCTAATTATCTTAATCTAATGGCAAGAAGATCAGAAGGCAATATGACATTCAGTGGGGGAAGGAAAACCAATTTCAGAGCCTTCTTTTAGAAAATTAAAATTCAATTTTAGGTTTTATTCCAGAAACAAACAGACATAGTTTTTAAATGTCAAGAGGATGACTAATCGTGGAGTATCCGTACTTTTGGATTTGCGCAAACAGCGACCAACTATTGAACCTCAAATTTGTATTAAACCAACAAAAATAAATCGTGACTGAGACGCGTTTTTACTATTACGTATTGCAACTCAGCGTATTGTACGTCAACGTAAAACATTTACGGTATCAAATTAAGAGAAAACTTTGGTTCATAGTCACAGACAACTCTGGAAATAATTACGTATCAAAGACGTGTTATCCAAATTTTAACCCCATGGTCTCAAATCTGTCTCATTAATCTGGTGGTTTTGTAGTTATTTAAAAAAATATTTGAACGGACTCTTTTTTGGGGGCCATACATGTACTGTATTATTCATCTTAATGGATGGGTTGCATTTTGGGCAATTAATGAGAATACTAAATCCCAATTTTTAAGTCCAACCCCACCTTGGCAACAGCCGTACGACAATTTGTTTACGATTATTTGTGATAATTGTGGAGGGAAGGAGAAACACATTTCTGACACAATGGTATATTTCGGCATGAAGGACTAATTGAGTCCGTGCAGTCAGTTCATAAACTGTCTCTCTGGATCAATCAAGGCGCCCACGGATCGATAGCTTTGTTTGTCCGGACACCGTCGCCGTTATACCCTCTCCCGACCCAGAGGACAACGGGGGACAAAGGCCGAGCGGCCTCATGTCGCCTCCCACAACCAATACCCCAAATCGATCCCCGTAGCATGATCCCCCTCCCCTGGTGCAACTCTCCTTTGTTTAGGTTGATCTTTTAAGACGTGTACTGGATGTTTATTTTATCGCTACTTTAGAGAATGAGGTTGTCAAACGCAAAGTCACTTTATGATTTATGAAACTGGCTGAAAGACAGGGCTACACAATACACAAGTACATGATTCCGAAAAGCTTCCTTATTTGGGGGTGGGGTCCCATTTTCCCCATTTCAATAACACCAAATTAAAAAATTATTTCTTCACAAAAGCTATCGCGTCCAGCCAGATGCAGACCTAAACCCTTTTTGTTGCGGGCGGGGGGAGGGGGGGGGTGGAAAGTGATGAAACCAACTTCCTTCCCTGAAAAGAAGCCGATTTCGTGCGTATTGTTTTGTCATTGTGTAAATAAAAGATGGTGATCTCTCTTTTTCGAAGATAATAAAACATATTCTTTTTGGAAATCAGATTACTTATGTTTCTCAGTCGACTTTCTCAAAGATACATATTTTTGTCTTATTTCTTCCAGATTGTTATTCTCGCTTTAATCTTTTCATCGTTTTAACTTCGTCCAGGAATATTTTTCATTCACATATCGCCTTCTCCCATGGATAGAGCTAACCCCGGGGTTAGTCATAACCGCAAGTTCAGTTGATAGGATTAGGATTACGGCCTAGCTCTAGCGTTTGGATTAGGTTTAGGTTTAGGTCAGCCCTAGCCCATTGCAAAGTCAGGAGTAACCCTTTGACAAATTGGACAATTTTCTTTCAGGACCTCATAATTAGGAGCCGCTGGTCACACAATGGTCATTTTACCCTTCATCCCTGCTCAACCGTGGCCCAAAATAGTCGTCCGCGCTGTTCAGAATTAAAAAGAAGAAAATATTTTAGATTAAAAAGTGCAGGCCTAGTTTTCATAAGTTGTCCACGGAGCCTTCTCCAAGTCGCACACATTGGCCTAATTGTAGCGCGGGACAACTCGCAATTATAGAAGTGATTAAAACAGGGACACTTCTTTCCTCGTTTTAAAACTCTTTGTGCGTTGTTTTCGGGTCAGGCAATTGGTTTTCACAGTAAAAATAAGGAATATTTTTCTTCTGATTATTTTTGCTTGTTATTTTTTTAAGGTAGGTGAAGCGCCTTTGTACGTGTAACGATTTATTGGTCTGAGCACCAGAAACGTTAAAACGCGGTGACTCTTGAGCAGGGTAATGACGAAAGAGGGCGCTATTTTTCAAGATGGCGGCGTCCTTGTTCGGAGCAAATTTGACTTTCTCCTCAACTTCTTCGATTTCCTCATTGCCTAGATCGGTAAATTATAAGACAGTGGAATAGCATTTTTAAGACAGTGCATGTGGTTGTGCTTTGGCCCTATAACCCCGTATACATAACGTGTAAATATTACTTGTCTTTGTGTCTCAAACCATTTCTCCATGCTCAAACTATAGTCAAAATCAAATAGGCTAACTGACTCGGCGAGTGTGTCGTTACACGGGCCTGTACGCAGTGGCCAGTGGCTATCGTTTTTTACGGCAGCCGTAACGCAATTTTCAACTGCTACTGCTATCGTTTACAGAACCGTCTAATTCCCTGACCTATTGGTATTCAATGTCACGATCTTTGGCTGTTGGACATGTTGGAACCAGACTATCAACCAATTATGGTTCTCGGACTTAATGCCCCTTTTTAAAAAAAAAATGCTAAAAAAAACAAAACAAAACAATCGAGCGGGAAAAGTTCCATACTTGGACGTCAATTTATCTGCTGCCAAACATATTAATTGTCACCTCACCTTGTCCTTTGAACCAAGAGAAATCCAGGAAGCTGTGTTAAGGTGAAAAAAATTTACTCAAAATGTGTTTTTAGAGCACATTTTGGATGCATACGTCGTGCAGAACTAACTTGAAGCAGCCGGTCAAAACTGATTGTAGTGGCTGAAAGACAGCGGTACGTTCAGCCCCATAAATGTGGCCTATTTACTGGACTGCCTCCGTAAACATAGGCCACACATCCACATGTACAAAAGTCGTGTCGACGGAGCCAAATTTTGATTTTCACATTTAGGCTTAGTTTGTAGGTTTTTTTTGCTTTAGAAGCATACTCACCCTCTTTACAGGCTAATCAGAAAGTGCTGCCTTTTTCAGATGTATATGTTTCGTGAAATTTCCAGATTCATTTTTACACGTTTGCGTATCAAAATTTCAACATGAAATTTCACAAAAATTAGACATCTGAAAAAGGCAGCACTTTCTGATTAGCCTGTAAAGAGGGTGAGTATGCTTCTAAAGCAAAAAAAACCTACAAACTAAGCCTAAATGTGAAAATCAAAATTTGGCTCCGTCGACACGATTTTTGTACATGTGGATGTGTGGCCTATGTTTACGGAGGCAGTCCAGTAAATAGGCCACATTTATGGGGCTACGGTACGTTATACACGTGACATCAACAACCATGACGTCGCATGAGCCTGCCAATGATAGTGCAATACGTCATATGAATATTTATTTTCTCATGAATATTTAGTTTATTTCAATGGATACTTCAAATACGTCCAAAGATTGATTATTGCAACAGCGATCGTGCGCGGCCTAGCGGTTAAGAGTCTCGTGTATCAAGCAAGAGTCAGAGGTTCGAATCCCGATGAAGTAACTGACTGATTAATAAATAGAAATTAAGGAAAGGAGAGGGTGAGAGTAGAGGAGGGAAAGTGGAGGAATAACCATCAAAGATGTAACTTTTGGTGCTAGAAAATTAATTGAAAAAAGTGACGTCCGAGTACGAAATTTTTTCCCTGAACGACAGCAGTTTGAAAATCACTTTACGTCTGCCGTAACGATAGCGATAGCCGCTGCAAAATTAAAATGGCCATCACCGTGATATACAGTGAATACCCAATGATTCCCATGGCTTCAACTGAAAAGTGCATAGGATAAATGCAATTTCTATCAAAAGGTATGGGACTTTTTTAAATTGCAAAAAAAAGGGGTTAATAATAATTAGAATGAAAGAAGACTACTTCAGGTTGCAGAAGTCACTTTGGAGTGATCAAAACATGAACCAAAAAGAAAGAGGGGCCCATAACTACATGTTCACAATCGCCATCACAATGACACTGGTCAATTTACTTTTCTCCTTCCTCAATACAATCATGTTTCTTCCCATTTATTCATTGTTCACTTTGACAGACCGATATCTTAGATGCCTGTAACAAGCCAATGAGACAAAGATGTGAGGAGATAGCAAGCTTTATACACAGGTCATCAAGCAAGGTGGGTAACACACAACTTGACCAATCTCCAACAAGGGGCCTTTTTCTAGTCCGAAAATCTGATATATTCGATCATCAACCAGTTTTCCAAATAGCATTTTACCTGATAGAATGTTTGAAAAAAATGTGAGCTGTCTTGAGAAAGTGATGAAAAAAGTTCTTGATGTTTAATTTTATTCGTATAAGTTCAGAGGTTTTAGTGTTCGTCAAATGCTATTTTGCCATTTTTGGGGGGCAGCCACTTTACATGTGTGATTTGAGAGCAAGTTCAATGAGGAATATAATTACTTCTAATTTACATCTTTAAAATTTGTTGAATATCAGCTTGTCAGCTATCTAAAAAAAAAAAAATTGCATTTTCTTTCTGGTAATGAAACCAAGGATTCCTCATTAGTGCTCTAGGCCCTGTAGTTTGAAAGCATGAACAAACCTGTAGAGAGAAGACAATGAGAAGAAATTACAGTTCTAGAGGTGGGAGGAAAACCCCAGAAGAACATTCTAGGGAAAACCCACAGAATCAGGCAGGCACTGAAAACCCAATCCACATGTGGTCCAGGCAGGAATCGAACCCGTGCCATAGATATCGATACATACATTATATTCATGAAAAGTATTTACCTCGGTGTCCATGGATGTATATGGCAATGTTCGATTGAATCTAAGTTCCACTAATCAAATATTAAATTATTCAAAAATACGCAGCCAGTGAGAAGCATAATATTAAGTTTCTGATAAGACTTTCATTTCACCTGCAGGAACTTCACAGCGTCTACCCCCAGCTGCTGGATAATATCTTTGGTTACAACCAGAACCCCGGCTGGGGTCTGCACGTTGTGACCCAGCAGACATCGAGGGATGACTACAGGGTGCTGCAGGAGTTCATGTCCCCACGGGGACCTCTCATGCTGATGGTCTACAAGCTGCAGGCTGACGGGGTCTTACGCTATGAGTTTCCAGTCTCCAGTTTGCCGGTACGTCCATAAAATAATTGTCTCGCCGCTCGAAAATCCAAGACATTGTGGGTTGCACTTACACAGTGAAGATTTATAGACAGTTGCAACATATAGACTAATTCAGCGACAGTCATTTTCTGTGGTGGCAGCAGACTCGCACGAGTCGCGCTCAATTAGTACGTACGCGCTCTGGGCTCCTTTGACTGATAGGACACACCTCGACTTTGTGTGCGGCATGTGTGCAAATGGTGTGCCACCTCAAACTGGCTTCTAATTTTGTTCGCCGGATTAGTCCATAGTCCACAGATGATCCCTTACTCCGTGGTGCATTTCAAAAGTATCCTATTTGTCACTTCATCATTGTTCATACATGTAGTTCATGGGACGAAATGAAGATTCACAAGATTGACTGTTACTGAAACATTTCATCAAGTTTCGGAAATGTTCTACTTTCGTATCCCTATGCTCAGAGCATGTGCACAACAAATGAATCACAGTTTCCCTATCTTGCACATCTAATTTTTCCTTATTGTTTCAAGACTTGGTTTTTGCAATGCATGCATTCCTCTCAGAACACAAAAAGTGAAAATTTCTTTCCAAAGTTCTTTGATGGGGAAGAAAGTGAACTCTGTCTTGTCTTTTCCAAGAATTATATTTCACAGCATTGAAGACAATTGACCTATCACGGTAGAATCGCGTCAACACACATGTAGCTTGTGAGATATTGTCCAATTACATGATATACAAATGGACGCGGAACGTGCAGAATCTGAGACAAACAAAATCCATAGAGTTGTCTAAGGGGCATGGCTAACTCGCAAACGGCGATAGGTCAATTATGCCTATACAAAACAACTTGTTCCGTAAAGATGTATAACATTGATTTTGCAGCAAAATGTTTTCTCTTGGAATACAAATTGTCTAAAATCCTCCCAATTTTTTGGTCAAACAGGCTCCAACCAGGGACGCCATTCTAGAAGGAGCCATGCCAGGTTTATATGCTCATAAGCTGAGTTACCAGACCCAAGGAAGACTACCCTCAACCATCTCACTGAGTATCCTTTTCACCACATCTTTGACCGATCTATTTAACCCTAAAAGGGCCGGGTTATTTTGACCATCTCTCAGCAGGGGGGGGGGGGGGGGGGGCGGCTAAGATCTCGGCCATCGAGTGACGAAACATTTAGAAACTCGGTACATGCATAGAGCAACTCATCATGAACATACCCAAGAAATTTCATGACTATAAGTCAAAGGGTTTTGGAATTATGGCTATTTAATTATTCGTATTTAAGAATGGTAATTGTGTTCTGTGCACACGATGTTTGTGGGAAAGTTCAGTTTTTATGGCGCGTAGCCCCAGAAAACTTTTTCGCTGCTCAGCAATCCGTGGTCCGATTTCTATGTTTTTGGTATCAAAAGATGCACAAGGCTCAAGGCTAAAAAAGTCCTAACAGCTCGGGTCGCGAAAAAAAAATTGAAGGCTATCACGGAAAAAGTTGAGGGGGGGGGGGTTTCTAGTTGCTGAAGTTTAATTGTATACTTGTATTAAAACGGGGAAGGGGATGCCAGAATAGTTTGCAGGGTTTTCAAAAGATGCTCAGAAACGAAACATTTGTGCAGGAAGTTTTCTTTGACCATTGTACTTTCAGATGCATTTGAGTATTTTATGTACAGCTTTGCTTACCTGATTGTGTTTCGGCATAAGCAACAGGTATGTACATCTACACATACGTGTGTGTTGATTGATTATTGGTAAACAGGTAAATAGATCATCCAGTTAGGAAATAAGGAGTACAAATTTTGGTTCGAAGTATGCAATTGTTCAACCCAAGAAAACTTGCTCAACCTTACCAAATCAATCAGTTTAAATGTACATGTAGGAAACCGATAGCACTTTTTTTGTACCTTATTATCAAGGGGCACCAAGCTCCATGTGAAGTATGTAGTGACTGTATGCCTTTTTCAATCCTGCAATATCCTCCCAAAGTGCTTGATGGATTTGATAGGATTCAGAAGGGCCTAGTGTATGTGTAAATTGGCTGTTCCAGATTTGACCACGAGCCTCGCCCACTTTGCACGTTGGGTAGCAACGCATGCATCTCCCCCCAATGCCACACCGCATGTTCCAGCTGCGCTCATCAACATGTGTCAAACTTTTGCCAACATTTGGTGCACAGTTAAGGCTCTGATTGGCCAAAAGATCATGGGGTGTGGCTTAGCGGATTGGTCTACAGTTGAATCTCGTTAAAGTCAAACCTCAGGGGAATTGACTCAAATTTTGAATTAAGCAGAGTTTTGAGTTTTCTATTAAATAACAATTGAAGGGAAGAAGTTTTTACTTTGAATTTATAGACAGGTTTTTGAGTCATCAGAGTTTGACTTATCGAGATTTCACTGTATTTCCAAATTGAATTGATCAACCATGATTAAATAAAACCCGACAATAAGCCAATGTGGTATTCCAATTGCACATTCATTAAATACGGTGGGTAAAAGCAGTGATCAACAATACAACAAAGCCGTATTGGTTCTTTGTGGTACATTCTTTGTTGGATTTTTTAAAAATTCCACTATTCGGTTTCAATTTTGAAAACTGGATATTCAAAACCAACCCTTAAAAAAAAAATTAAGCCTTCCATTTTTTGTGTGACACAGGCTAAAGAAAAGAACTTGTACATCCCCTGATTTGCTCCATGGTCTCTGATTGTTACTGCATTCACTTGCTAGTGGTCTTCTTGGTATATGAATAGCCTGCCCATACGACTTATCAGAGAGTTCCCATCCAATTTTTTTCGACATAACATCTCTGGAGTGTTTTTGTAAAGGCCCAGTGGTCATTGAATTTTGTAAGCTACATGTATACCCAATCATGCGGCACCTCACTTGTCACTTTCTGTTGGCATGACTGTGAGCTGGATGGGAACTTCCGGTGAAATAGGATAACCGATATTCGGTTTGAAAAAAATCAGGATAACTGGATTTTGAAATCTCCAATTTCTCCCATCTCTGATACTGCTATTGAATTCGGCTAGGTGCCACAATTTACAACATTCAAGGAAAACAGTGATCTTTGGCACTTGAGTCTTGTCAGACGTCTTTATCCCAAATGACTTTTGATTTGACCAACTTCATTGTATGAGATCGAAATACCACAATTGGCTTACTGATTTGATTGATCCAACGACAGAGCTTACAGCAGTGGACGGACGCAGATGACTGGCTGTACCCGAGTCTTCTCAACGACTATCTACACCACTTCCTACCCATCGATGGAAGCAGTGTACCCCCTGCACCCTTCACCTCCGGCACCCAGACCCCCACCCCAGGCCAGGGCCACTCCCCTCCCTACAGGTAGGCTAATGTGTTGACTAACCCACCCGTTGCGTTTCTCCCAAAGCCCAACACTCTTCGGTAACTCCATGGTACGGTTTTCTTTGTACTTAGAACCGATGAGACGTGTTAGGTAGTTGTAGCTGGGTTCTGCAGTCCTGAATGTATTGAAATTCTTCAAAACATTTGCCTGATTTTGAATCATTTTAGGTAGTTGACTTTATTAGCAACTGTTCTACATTGTATTACTTTGTATTCATATTCATGTATTCTTTTGTTTAAATACATAGATGCCTTATTTTGATTTCAATGCAAAAGTCATCTGTGCTCTCTTGTTGTGGGCGTGTCTCGATAATCTTTATATTTCTTCCCATCATGCGACACTCCATCTACCATGTCTACAGGTTGCCTCAGTACGGAGTTCTCTATCACTATTTGTAAGTTCCTCTCATACAGGTCCTCGCCTCCCAGCCACTCACAACCTTTTACCCAGGGAAGAAGTGTACATAACATCTCCCCCACTCCTATTTTGCACCTTTCCTTGTACCCTTTGGCAGGCACCGACTGTGGGTCTGGCATATCACATGTATTTTATCACCGTTTAGGGTTCCCACAGTCATGGACAAATCCTGGCATTTTGCAATTTTACACGGAGTCATGGAAAATTGATATTCCAAGAAAAAATCATGGAATTCTGCACAAGGCATATGTGATGCTGCGTAATATTTGGCTATAGCAGTCTTCCAGTTGACTATACTTCCTCTTTATACAGGTTGGTGCATAAAGAAGGAAACCCACTTTTGACAGGAATTTTAACCTACTTACTCAACTTATTTGAACTGGTGTTTTTTATAATGTAGTGAAGGATAGCTCATATATGGTGAAAAGTCTTTTTACAAATCGCAAGAATAGTGTTGTTAAGCAAATTTGAATACAAGTCACCAAAAATCACTGTTGTCCACGTGTAAGTCTAGTCATGCTAGTGTAGCGTATTTTGTCTTCAAATCAAGCTCCGGAGCTCAGTCAAGCAGATGGAGCCGTCCGTTGACAAACAGGTTTGGCACATGAATTTTTAAAACTACCATATATATCTCGGAGACAAATATGCATTTGCAATCAGTTTTTCATCACTTAAGTTTAAAGATCAATATTTTAATACCATTAAATTGAAGTTTTGAAATATGCTCAACAAGTAGGTGAAAATTGCTGTCAAAAGTAGGTACCTTTCTTTTTGCGCCACCATGTACATGCCACTGTATGCTTGCTGCATGTTCAATATGCACCACTGAGATGCTTTTGTGGTGCTTAGTGGTCTGGTGTCAAACTGGAAGGCTGAAAGGGAGTGGTGTCCCTTACTTCATTGTAATGACTTGCAAGTGTATTGTAAACAGGCTCCTAAGATGCCAAAAAACATCACAGGAATTGGTCATGGAAATCTTGTTCCGGAAAAGGCATGGAAAAATTAGGGTATTTTATTTGAAGATATCTGTGGGAACCCTGACTGTTGCAATAACCATGGGCATGACGGAATCGGTTGGGTCTTATCATTTAAATTTGTTTGTTTTTTATGTTGGCCCTCAATAGTAAAGTATTTTTACGTAGATTATACGTGCTGTCACAGGTGTACATGGAAGCCCCCTGGGTGTGAGGTGTTTTTGCCTGTCTGCAATTTTTTTCTCTCATTTGGTTGCATTCTTTATTGCTTTTGTTTTGTTTATTTATGTTGTATGTGTTTACGTCATTGGTGGAAGTGTCATATATGTGGTGCTTGTGGTTTGTGTTGATTTCGTGCATGGGAAATCACTGGTGTTTTTTGTGTTGCAAATTAAATTAAAGTAGCATGTAAAATGAAAGAATTTTAAGGTTCTGTGGTTTACAGCTTCTCGGAGCCAATAATGAACTTCAATATCTATTTTCTTTGCCTGAAAACAAATGCACCTTTGGAAGGTTAATAAGTGCAACTTTGGAAGGTTAACAAGCGCACTTTTGGAAGGTTAGGAAATGAAAATAAAAGTAATCTTCACTTTTTATTTTGTACTTTTATCAACAGTAGTAACAATACTTTTTATAGAGCGCACTTGTAATTCAGATTAGCATATTGTAACACCGTCTACTTTGGTAGAAAGCGTTAATTTTACATGGGCAATTCTGGGTTTTATGTGGTTAAATTTCTTTTAAAAAAAAAATCCTATTTTTTGGGGGGGGGGGCCTTGGGGTAGGCAAAGTATCATAAATGCCACATGCTATGAAAAAGTTTAAAGTATATCTAGATTTGTGCGATGTGTGATTCAATTTGTTTTAGCTCACTTTTAATAATGCAAAAGTGGGTTTGCAAAGCAATCGTTTTCCAGTTTAAACGTATGATATACTGCTCGACATATTTCAAAAGCAATCATGATTAGTTTAGAAAAGAAGATACATTTACATACTGTACATTGTACCTAGCCTGAATTCTTTTAGTACAATTCCCATTACAAAAGATGACTTCTACACATTTTTCAGTATAGTTTCTTAAAGGGAAGATACAACATTTGCAAACATCAAAAAACGAAATGATCAAATTTTCACGAAATACTTCGCTGGATTGTTAGGGAATGACAGTTTAAAGCATCCTGTAAAATTGTGGCTCCTGATGTGCTGACATTTTCAAGAAAAACAGTATTTTTCCAACGCTGGTCGGCCAACCAGCGTTGGAAAGAACTGGCTTTTTTTCAAAAACTGCTCCTCATTTTTCAAATTTAGTTATTCCGCATTTTCTTTGCAATTGATTACACACCTGTGAAGGGGGACAAGCCTGCTAGAGTGATTCTCTGACCATACAATTCCCCAAAGTCCTTACATTTCTCCGTTTCATCTTAAGTGGGGTCAGGGAACCAGACTACTAGAACGTGATTGGTTTTCTTGGTTTTTCCAGCATATACAAGCCCAAAACATGAAACAAGTCAGTTTAACAATATTTGCTATGACATACTAATCCTCCAAATTCATTTATTTCTGAAAATTGCAGCAAAAGCAAACGTTGTACATTCCCTTTAACCCAAGTGTTACCCTTGACCTCGTAAATGAGTAAAGACATAAGTTCTGTTACTGTGATCACCCAGTATACTATACCTCATACTGCAAAACATTAGAAGGATTTAAACTGATCACAATGAATGAATTTATTAGATTTTTTTTTTACCAGAAATCACTGGCTATGAAACCAACATGCTTTTTAGCATTTTTTTTTTTTTACATTAAAGTTGCTCTCTCCTCGCTGTTTGAATAAATTATAAAAAAATTGGTAAAAAGTTAAATTTTAAAGGAGAAACCAATCATATATGTTGAAGAGCACAGGTAGAAAGTGGTATGCATTTGCAAGTAGTGCGGGAACCGGGCACCCTATTGTGATAAAACCAAGTACCCGGGTATACTCGTAAAAGGAACCCAACCCAAAAATTCAAATCCCGGAAGTTGTCTGAAGGGCTCTATAGCTTTACTTTTTAACTGCAACTTTCGTAAGCGTCATCTATGGCATGTTAAAATACACATAAACGTAAAATCTGTTTTGGTTTTCATGTAGCCTGGTTTCATTTGGAAAATTCCCCACCAATGGCATTCAAAACCTTTCTTTTTCATTGTCTAAAAAGTTACTGAGTAATTTGTAAAGTTGGTTACGGGTACCCAATCCAGTAACCTGGAACCTGTTCCTGACATCAGCGGTCGGTACTTGGGTACCTGGTTCCGATGCACAGCCCTATGGTAGAGCTACTTTGGAATTCACTGGCACGTTCTCCTTATTTCCCCACTTAAATCGGTGTATCAAAGAATAATGCATGCAGATAATTTTGATCCCCAGTCCGCCCAAGCAGATACAAACCTTGCTGTGGTGATGCATAGTTTGCATGTCTGGCTGTAGCTGCATATTATACAGGTTGGATAAAAAAAACGAAACCGAGATATTATTGCTAATTGGAACAGAAGTAGGGCACATGTGAATCAAAGAGAGATATCCTCTGTTAGTGTTGAATCTCCTCTTTAAAATGACACTCTGATCATGTCCTTACATTCAAGGTTGACTGAGCAGTGACCAATTTTATGAAAGGGTCTATTTAGAGAATTGCACCACTTTTCATGGTGAAATCACTTTTTCCCCCATCTGCCTTGATTGGCAACCATAGCCTTTCACTCTGTGACAAATGACACCACAAAAACCACAATTGAAAAGTGGCGCAAGCCTCTAAATAGACCCTTTCATAAAATTGGTCACTGCTCAGTCAACCGTGAATGTAATGACATGACCAGGGTGTCATTTTAAAGAGGAGATTCAACCCTAACTGAGGATATCTCCCTTTGATTCACATGCGCCCTACTTCTGTTCCAATTAGCAATAATATCTCGGTTTCGTTTTTTTTTTATCCACCCTGTACACGTAGATACAGAACTGTAAAGGCCAATTCATGTTTCACGCATGTGCAAATGCGAAGCGAACATGACGTCATGAAATATTTGTGAGTTGAAATGTTTGCAACTGCGAGCTCACAGCATGATGAAAACTTGATGTGACATGAACAGGCCTTTAGAATGAAATTGTATTGCTTGCTCTAAAAGCAAAACGTCAACAATTTTGTTATTTGTTTTGTGATTTAGTTTAGCAGTCAGTACATTAGCATGGCATGGCAGAGTACAATGGTGCAAAAATCAGGCAAAAAGAGTACTGCTTGCTAGTAGCTCGAACATGTAGATTAAAGATGCCTATTACCAGCAGGTACTTAATGATGGAAAGGTTGGACAAGTTTTGAATAATTTATTTATTAGTTTTTAACTTGTTTAGCAGGTGATGTTTACTTAAGAAATGTATTCCCAGTGTCATTAGACATTAGTTTGATTACTAAAATGTGATCCACACATGTACCTCCTCAAGTCTGTTCCCAACGTATCCAAAAATTAAGGCCCCTTTATCATTTTTGTAAAGACTTTCAATGCCCACCCTCAAACATATTTTTATCATATTATGGCCTTTAAGTGTGATATTAACTCTTTGGCTGCGTAATTTATAGCCTTAATCAGACTCACGGGGAGTCAGGTTGGCGTATCGGTACTTTCCTCGCCTTCCACTGCTGTGACCCAGGTTCGAATCCCGCCCGGGCAGATATGTGGATTGGGTTTTCAGTCCCTACCTGATTCCGTGGGTTTTCCTCAGAATATTCCTCTGGGCTTTTCCTCCCACGTCTAAAAAACTGTAATTTCTCCTCATTGTCTTCTGTCTATCCATCCTGTAATTGGCGCTCGCGCTGTTGGATGTGGCTGAAATAAAAAAAAAAAAAAAAAAAAAAAAAATTGGAGATTTATCACCTAGTCATATCTGAGTAGGTGCAATTGGTAGCTGATATATTGGTTTGTCACACGCACATACATGTATTATAAATACTTATTCATGAATACCTAAGACAGTTTACCCATTCCTGTTGGTCAAGAGTCTATCATGTTGGTTGCTTAAACGGTTGATAAAATATCAGCTGGCTGGTTTTAAAGACTTACAGTGTCACATGAAATCCTATGAAATCTGGTCCCTTTCACCCTTTTATTGGTTGAACATTTACAATCTTCACTTACATGTAGGCATGCGCAATACTAACATGAGTCCATATTTCGAGGGTCCTAAATTCACACTAAACCAGCACCGCATCGTTCTGCGCCACGTGGGCGCCAATCTCCATATAAGAAGACATTTACGCCTACTCGTGAGGGGTACATACCATATCATGGCTAGAGGGGTGTTTCAAAAACATGAAGTAAAATCGTTCAACAAAATTGTTGGAAATTTATAATATTTGACTTCTTTTTATTTTTGACTCAAACTTATTTATGAATGGAAAAAATATGTGCTTGCCCGGTATTAAGCAAGTCCCGGAGCCGGTCTTAAACGTACTTGTTTAATACCGGCCGAGCACATATTTATTCCCCTATTAAATTATTGCGGGGCACACACACTGACACTCATACATCATTTCAGAATTGTATTTATTTAATTTGTCTTATTTACATATTCGATGTTTTTGACTTGTTCCAACCACTTTTATTTGAAGTCCTAGTTAAAGCTATAGTCCATCATTTGTAATTTGTGCATTTTGTTCGTTTGAAGCAACAAAAGAGTTCAAAATCTAATGAAGGATACTGAACAACTAACCTGATGAAGTTTCAGCTAAGCTTCAGCTGTATATTCCGAGAAAAACAGCATTCTAAGATCTCAATTTCAAATCCAAAGTTACTGAATCATGTTTTGAATTGTTTTGAATTGCAGCTATACGCGATGTAGCGCACTGATCCGACGAATTATAACAACCGCGCGCGCGTGTGCGTCGTTCCAAACCTTGTGCGCGCTGCGCTGAATAACAAAACGAACTACTAATTTAAATTTTCCTACGGTGCTTCTTAAGAATCACCGTTGGAAATGCCTTCTTTTGTTGATTACTTCAAAATGACAGCTTCCCAGAAAGAACAATTTCACAGGGAGTTTAGTTCCCTTACTATCTTTCGACCAAGTTTGTTTTTCAACAATAATTACGCCAGGTACTTTTCGGATGGCTGCAAATGATGGACTATAGCTTTAAGGGTCCAAAAGCATAATTTGCACTAAGCGCTACTTCTTGAAAGAGCTTACAAACGATATATTACTAGTAATATGCCGCTTCTGAACGACTTGGTTATAGCTTGCTATCATGCATGCGCCTATGGAAGCAGCTGAAGCCCATTCCCATGCATATGTAAGCCCTGCTCAATGATGCTTTGAACAATCACAGCTTTGACTGACGTCCAGCATGCGTGCACCAAAATCCGACATGTGTACGCACGTATGACGTGCACAGCTGTATCGTGCAGTCTTGCATTGGAGAAGAGATGCGTTAGTTGCCCACGTGCGCGCAGTGGGCCGGACTAACTGGATCAGTCTATTCGGATGTGGTCATATGAGAGAAGTAATTTTTAAAAATGAAGATATATTCAAAAAGTGCAACCCAATCACCATCGTTGCCATTGTTCCGTTGTTTTTATGTTTCCTGCTTCTCAAGATACTCGGGTGGTTCTCAGCACAACCAGCTTTTTCGCAACGATGTTGCCAGCGGCATGGCACACCACCAGCACCCGCACCAGCACCACCAACCCCTGTTCAACCTCGCCCAGTCTGCACCGATGGACTACAGCAACCAGGAGACGTGGCGCAGCGAGACCTTCCTGCAGGCGCTGGGGGAATTCTGGCTGAGCCAGAACGCACTGCAGCCCAAGGAGCAGGGATTCAGGCAGCATGTCAGAGTACGAGCAAAAATCACTTGTTTCAAAAACAAATTTGTCTCTGACTTAATGCTTTAGTACCCCAAAAAGATATTGGGAAATTGGAATTTCTCCAATGTAGGGTTGGTTCAGCTTCCTGCCCAATTCATGGTTCTTGGTTCTTGGTTGGTTCTTCTCCTAATTACTCCGCGGTGGAGTTTGACCAGGAGGCCAGAAACACCGGGGCAAACCCCTTCTCTTAGCGATAAGTGTCTCTGGGTTCTTTTTACGTGCATTGCATTACACAACACACGGGACCTACGGCTTTACGTCCCATCCGAAGGACGAAGCAGTAATGGTTCAGTACCCGGCGGGCTCGAACCCATGCCACTGTTGCCTCTGAAATACCAGAGCATGAGTTTGGTGTTCTTAACCGCTAGGCCATGACACTCCAGGGTTCTTGCTGACCCATGTGACACCCCCCCCCCCCTACATCCGGGTACCGCAAAGTCAGCGTCGCCATTGTAGTAGGCACAGATCGTATAGCGCAGCACATAGTAGGTAGTAGGCAAGCCCTCAAAGCAAAAAACATGCCAACATCCAGTGCTGTGTCGGCATGATTATTACAACCGTACACGGCACAGGTAGTGATCATTATGCCATTTGATAAAGAATTTGCGGTAATTTTACGTGAAAATAAGCCCTACTGTCTAGCTCACAATGCGCAACGTGATTGCTAAACCAAACGCTTGCCTACTGCAATGGTGGCCAATTATGGGGAAACCAGATGGTCACGTGGTACATTGACGTCATATGATCGGAACCTATTGTATTGCTCTGCTAAGAACTTATTTTCTGCAAATGGAGCCTCTATCTATTTCACAGGGACGGCAAGCAGTAAGCACAGCAAAAACCATGATAACCTCAAACGAACAATTTGCTTGAATTCGTAACGTATAAGTAGAATGGGTAAGATTCCCAACCACATCTGTGAAGGTTTTTGACATACATTATTTAAAGAGGTTGTGGAATGCTCGAAGACATTTCCGTCATTTTTCGGGTAAATGTAGCCTAAGGTGTGATGAAATAGAAACGAATATTGTGTCTGTCATGAAATGAGTACAAAAGGTACTTTTGAGAGCTGTTTTTCAGGTCCTGTTTCGACCCGAACGTGCAATTTGTGTAAAAGTCATCGTTGGGGGCAGCAAACAAAACATAGTAAATCATGACGTAATAAACAGGACTCCCTATGCAGCGTAGTGTAAACGAGTCCTGTTTATTACGTCACGATTTTTCTCATTTTATGAAGAACCCGACGACTGTTGATTTCAATTATGCGCTCGCCGACCAACAAATTACTCGATGAATTTCAGTTTTATAAACATGTAAATGCACATTACAAAAGAATGGGACTTTGTCATGATGATATATATGGGTCTACTCTACAATAAGAAAAAATATAAAAAACAAAATGACTTTCAGCATTCCACAACCTCTTTAAAAAATATCCCTTAGGAAATCAGCCCAACAACCTAACAATTGACAAGAGGTTTTCTATCATTGACTTTAATAGGAGAACTACATTCCCAGCTCAGACCACGTCCGGGTGGTTCGAATCCTGGTCAAGCACCTGCATTTCTTTGTAAACTCTGCCCGACCTCCCCTGGCCATCACCGCCTATCAGCAGCCTGAGCAGGGCCAGCTGGAAGACTTCAAGAGGTACACACATGCAAACCCATTCTATGCAGACATTCTCATCTCCACAGCTGCGGAGAATCCAGTGTTGTAGTGAATTGACTTGTGATTTCCTTGTGACCAGACTTGTGATGCACTCGTGATCGATCATTAGTACCTTAACTACAGCTTTATAATAATGTGTATTTATAAAGCGCACGTATCCACCAGTATTGGTGCTCAAGGCGCTACATCATTATTACCCTGCTCATTGGGCCAATGACACATTCCCAAGACAATCTCAGCTCCCTGGGGAGTATACAGCTCGATGCTGCCATTTCAGCGCAAAGCAGCTAGAATCAATCACAATATAACCATCTCTGCCCTCACAGGTACCCATTTACTCCTGGGTGGAGAGAAGCAATGAGTGACAAGTGCCTTGCCCAAGGGCACACGCACCATGACCCCAGGCTGGACTCGAACCCACAACCCACAGAATTACCTGCAGACCATGAATTCAATGCCCTTAACCACGAGGCCACGACACTCCATTGTGGAAATCTGTGAAAAAAGAGTACTGAAACTCATTTTAACTGAAAAATTTTCTGTCACATTTTTTTCCCTGCAAAATCAAAGCTGGCATGTGATGCTTATAAACTTTCATTTCTATAATCTGAATTTAGTAAGGCTGTGAATTTAGTAACTCACTGAGTTTATAGTCACACATGTTTTGTCAGCAAGTAATAGTTGAAGACCTAGCTGTACTTATCGACAACATGCTCTAGACATGAGATCCGGAAGTCTTGGCCCTAGAATTTGTATTTTGTTCCCCAAGCCATCCCTGAGATTATATCTCGGGGACATACGAACACATATGTAGCCGTAGCCAAGTAGTTCATGTCTGAATTGCTTGGCTTCGGCTGGAAATTACACACACGTCTGGAAGCGGCTGCAGCCACTTCTCATAGACCCGTGTGTTATTTCCAGCCGTAACTCGGACGCAGCCTTTACCTGGCGTGGGAATGTGAAAAGAGAGACCACATGAGGGCTCCCTTCATGGTGGTTGATAGATTTAAAAAACAAACCAGTGTCTTTGTTGATGTCAAGTTTTTACGTGCCTTGACCTTGACACGGAGTTAGGCTCCTGCAGACAGAAACTGCATTGCTTCTCTCCACCCATGAGTAAATGGGTACCTGTGAAGGCAGAGATTTAGATGCTTTGCACGGAAATGGCAGCATCGAGCTGTATACTCCCCAGGGAGCTGAGATGGTATTTGGAATGTTTCATTGGCCCAATGAGCAGGGTCATAATAAGACTTTGTATCCTTAGGCAATTTGGCGCTCAGTTTTTATTATTATAAGCGTGATGTAAATGTGCAAAAGTTCTCGTCCTTTGATGTATCTGACCGAGAGTTGCATCCATTGCAGGTATGTGATTCCTCAGTTCATCCAGAAGAAACTCTACGTCTTCTTACGACACGGCTTTGACAATTGGCCACTGGACTCCACATTCAGACAGGTATGAGAATACATCAACCCTAACTCCCCAGCATGATTCACTAGGAACCATACCCATCCTGGCAAATTCCAACACCATACGGGAAAGTGCACACACATATTTCTGACTTTGATTCTGGAGGTGTGCTCAACCATACCCATCCTGGCAAATTCTGACACCATATGGGAAACTGTGCACACATATTTTTGACTTTGATTCAGGAGGTGTGCTCAACCATACCCATCCTGGCAAATTCCAACACCATATGGGAAACTGCACACACATATTTCTGACTTTGATTCTAAGGGTGTGCTCAACCATACCCATCCTGGCAAATTCCAACACCTTATAGAAAACTGCACACACATATTTCTGACTTTGATTCTGGAGGTGTGCTCAACCATACCCATCCTGGCAAATTCCGACACCTTATGGAAAACTGCACACACATATTTCTGACTTTGATTCTGGAGGTGTGCTCAACCATACCCATCCTGGCAAATTCTGACACCTTATGGGAAACTGCACACACATATTTGTGACTTTGATTCTGGAGGTGTGCTCAACCATACCCAGCCTTGCAAATTCCAACACCATATGGGAAACTGCGCACACATATTTCTGACTTTGATTCTGGAGGTGTGCTCAACCATACCCATCATGGCAAATTCCAACACCATATGGGAAACTGCACACACATATTTCTGACTTTGATTCTGGAGGTGTGCCAACCCAATGTAAAAGACTGTCAGTTTAGGGGTACTGTACCCATCCTAACGGATTTCAACAAAACATGCCGTTGGGGTTTGATAAGTTGAGTTCTGTTGGGGTTAACCGAAGAATTTGAGAATTTGAGAACCTGAGGAGTGTTTGCAGACCAAAAGTATTAGAGAAAGGAAAAAATAGTTTGAATTGTTTAATTTTTATGGCCTGATTTAAGAAAAATGAATCTTTGCCTCCCCTGCGTAGCGGGTGAGTGTTCCGCCTGTGGCCTGCTTTTTGGGCAAGTCCCCCACTTAAGTATAGCGATGATAGTGGATTTGAGCTTTTTGAATTTCTGAACTTACTAAATATCTTGCAATCTTGGGGTTTATGTAAACTGAGTCGTGTATTATTTTTGAGACATTAAGGAAATAGTGGCAAACTTTTTCCAGAAATTCAAAATCTTTGGATGAGACATCATTCGTAAGTAAGAATTGGAAAAGATTTAATACTCGCATACATAAAGTTTTTCCTTTTGTAAAGAGACACCGCGGGTATGCATGTGAATCAATGGCTCCTATTTTTGTTCAGGTTTTTTTTTCAGTATGAAAAAGTTCTGGGTATTCAAAGAGCGAATATTTAATGCTTGACTTTCTGACTTTCTGATCCAGATACTGGAGGTGTGGCTAAGTTACATCCAGCCCTGGCGTTACACTGAGCAGACAAGGGAAGATGAGAGATCACCTGTAAACATGAGAGACACAGCAAGGGATAGACCCTTACAAGAAGAAAGATGGTATGTGGGATAAGATGTGTGTGGGGTGCTGTGGTCCAATGGTTATGCCGTGTGACATGGTACATGGGTTCGAAACCTGACCGTGGGAACATGGTGCTTGTGCTCTTGAGCAAGGCACTTTGCCATTATTGTTTCGTCCTTCGGATGGGACGTAAAGCCGTAGGTCCCGTGTGTTGTGTAATGCACGTTAAAGAACCCAGTAACACTTATCGCTAAGAGAAGTGGTTTGCCCCAGAGTTTCTAGCAGTGGCTGCAATATGGGCCACAGCACCTTGTCAACCTTTAAAGGTGCTACATAATGGGTCTCATATTTCTCATAAACTTTATTTACCTTTTCTTTAATAATTGACATAATTTCCAGCCCCTTGAGTACCTAATTGTTGGTAGATACGTGCGCTTTATAAGACTCTGGTATTTTTTATTATTATTAAGATGTTGCTGCATGAGGCCCATGATAAGCTTGCAATCTTGGATGGTATGGACCAAGTACATGAACAGTAAATGATACTTGATGACCTCTTGTGAGAGGCCGTTGGAGGGTCACCCTGCTTGCTGGACATTGGTTTGAGAATGTAGGGCATTGAATGCCCAGGGGCCATATTCATGACACCTTACTAACTTAGCAGCCAACTAGGCCTTAGTAGGATACTAAAATGCCTAGTAGTCTACTATGGAGTTGACAACTAAATTGTTATTCATAAAACCTTACTAAGAACCTTGCTAAGTAGTTACATACTAGGGGAATTTGGTTGCTTATGTGAGTAACTGGAATTGGGTGCTTTTGGGTGGAGTGGGCATGTATGGAATGTGATGACAACAGATACAATAGTGCGACAGGTGTATTAGGCTAATCCATGTCCAGCACTTGCGTGGATTAGCAAAATATATATATATGTGGTATAGTGTACTGCATGTAAGTGAATCAACATCAAATTCTCCAGCAATTGCATATAAAGCTATCAGACATGGCTACAAAAAGGGCAAGAAAGGCAAATTATTCTCAAGAAGAGAATCTCTTTATGGCAGACAACAAGAATGAGGAATTAAAAAATATTATTCATGCTAAGCATAAGGATGTAAACACTAACAAGAAAAAGAGAGATGCATAGGCAGCTATTCTCAGCCAACACCGTGCAAGATTTCCATTTTCCACAGGTTGAAAGATTATTGGATGATTTAAAAATTAGATTATCCAAATTAAACTCTGAGTCAAAAGAATGCCTGTCAAGTATGAGAAAGTCAAAAAAGGCAACCGGAGGGGGGAAACCACCTCTAGAGCCAAGTCCGGCACGACAAAATAATGATATAGTTGTTAACTAGTGACTTAGAGTTGCCCTGGATCAACACTAACTTTAGTAAGAAACTTGGAATATAACTAACGCTAGTAATGTTTCATGAATACCAATTAGTTACCAATTAGGCTTAGTAGCAACTACATGCCTTTTTAGTAACCAACTAAGCTTAGTAAGGTTTCATGAATTTGGCCCCAGATCTCTTTTCGTTGTTAATAATTGTACAAACCTATATCAGAAATGAGTTCATGAGTCCTGACTAACTCTCACGTTGTTATGTTGAGGGGTTACCTGTAAAGGGAGTTTATGGCACTGTAGAAAATGTTTTGTTTCCCCTGGCGGCGCACAGCGCCGGACAGCGCCGGACATCGGCGAGCCGAGGTAGGCCGTTAGCCCGGTGCTCTTGGCAGCGCTGTGTCGGAGCGAAGCGGATCGTACACTCCAACTCCAAAATTTTTGGTGACATAACCTTCGCATTCCATTCACATTTGCTTACAGTATAAGCCCATCTATAATCTTGGGTAATTGTTTGCATTCTTCTAGCTTAAATATTTTTTTCCTTTTTGAAAAATGCTTTTGGATTGTGCATGCTACTCTTTGCCATGTTGCAGGTTGAAGTTTGTATCCAGCAATCTGCTGTTCTACACGGTGCTATTTCAGGAGTTTCTACCCAGGGCCTTCCGTCAGGATCTGACTGGACCCAAGAACGCTATCGTCCTGTTCCGTGTGGCCAAGGTGTTTGCCCAGAGCAACCTGGCTCAGGTCCTGGAAGAAGGTGAACGTTTTTCTTACCATTGCATATCTGGAAGTGAGGGGGAATTCTTGTTCAGGTTGTGATGAGGCTGTGATAATAAAAAAAATTTAATATTGATGTCGGTGTTAGGGATATAATGACATCTGTAAACACAACGTGCATTTCAAAAATTGGTTACTCTGTTGTCAAAAGTTTTTATCAAAAGGCTATCAATTTCTTTATAAAAATAAACAGTCAATCAGCAAAAAGGATTTGCCATTGTTGAAAAAAAAAATTAAGCCCACACATAATTAACAACGTTGATCGAAAGAAAACAAAGAAATAACATAAAAAGTTATTCCGATGGTTGTTCAAAACATACATTGCCAATAAACCAACAAAATACTAAAATTTGCATGACTTGTTAAAGTGGCCACATTCAAGGCAGCTCGTTTAAACTTTGTTTTTTAAAAATGAAATTAGTAACATATAATGAAATTAGTAACATATACCTCAACATGTACCTTTTTGTAGTGAATTTAGAAATGTGTAATGTTTGATAGTTCTGCCACTTGAAGTGCCCATGTCTGTATCCAAACACGATTTTTGTTCTTTCAAAATTTGTACTCAATCTTGACTCAACAACATTGTGACTCAATCTTGTCTACATCTTATGGGGTGGCATGGGTGGCTTGTGCGTAAAGCGCTCGTCTCTCACCAAGGTGACCACGGTTCGAATCCTGGCCGCGGATCGCATGTGAGTAGAGTTGTGCGTTGGTTCTCTCCTGTGCCACGAGGGTTTTTCTCCGGGCCCTCCGGTTTTCCTCCCTCCGGAAAAATCAAACACTTTCGATCTCAAGCTGTGCTCCGTGGTCATATATGGGTCGATGTGGCCGGCAGCCATAGGCGCCTTTACGTGCCAGCGGCCCGACCACGTTGTAGCCGCGTCCTTTGCAATTCAGCTTCTCAGCTGCGAGTAAGGATGATTAGCCTTCCAAATTATTATTATTATTATTACATTTCTAATTCATTTTTTTTCTGTTCCCCATATCAGCTGAGCGACGTCTTGTTGAGGATTACCACTCCCCAGTCCGGGGTCGTTCAGGGTCGTTCGGCAGCAGTTTCATTTCTCATCAGCGTGTCCCATCATCCCTGGACCTCGGCTCCCAGATAGCTGAGCTGGAGGCACCGGGCTTCGCATATTGGCCCTTGTTTGGTGATGAAGTCAAATCAGGGGTAAGTGGGAAAAAATGAAATTAAACCGCTCAAAGTTTGGGGATTTTGCACCCTGGCTGACAAGTTGATGGATGCTTTAACCACTGGGACGTGACAAGTAAAACTGATATAGGTCTCTCTCAAAGATGGCCATCTCTGTAGGAGCACTGCAACTGCGTATTTTACGCAATCAAACATTCATTGCGCAGTGTTGAAAATGTTCCAAACACGGACACTTGTTGCTTGAAATGTGTTTGAAATACGACGCAGCCAATGCGCGTTATGCAAGTTGACGCTCAGAATGACAATGCTCACTCATTTGAGAGAAACCTATTGCTGTGTGGGTTTTATAATTAACTTCAGGATGCTGTAAGGATGAAAGTAAATAAAAGGAGTATTAGTAAATAAAACGTTACAAAAAGCTGTTGACCCTTCTGAATGTATTAATGTACTTCACTGATCATAGAAAGAGACCCCTTATTTCTTTTTCTCCATTTTACAATTATTGTTTGCGCACTTCACACCTTTCAGAGTCTGACCTTATATAAGGGCTTAGGAATGATGTTGAGAAACTTTGAAAAAAGAAAACACTACTGGTCAAGTTGGAGAGTTTGATGAGCAAGCGCTTTTGGAAGTTTAAAAAGTTATCGTATACTTCTGATATTGATAATACCCCAAAAATAGCATAATTGCATATACATCCTCATTACTTGGGAAAAAATCTGCTGAACTCCATATACTTGTTTTTGGAAATGAAATATAATAATTCAAATTTCTGGTGACCATGCAAATGTAGCGCGGGCAGGACTGCAACACTGTCCTGATAAAAGGATCCACCGTTCAGTTTAGCGTGTTTTGTTCAGGAGATATGCTGAAAAGATTTTTAAAAACTCAGAATTCCATTAAAAAAAATCACATTATGACATCATCAGGATTCACTTCAATAATACATCCTTGTGTATGTACATACCAAGTTTCAACCTGATGGGACTCATAGTTCGGTTGATACAAGACTTTGAAAAATTATACTGTGAGAAAAGGCTCCAAAGTTGAAGCCCAAGGAAATTCTCCATTATAGCCTTTCTAATGTACCATTATTTTTCTGACTTGCAACAGATAGAGAGGTTACTACAAACGGTCCACCAGGCCCACATCACAGTCTCTAACATGAACTACTCGCCCATTGCCAATCCTGACGAAGGCTTCTTCTCATGGTTGGGATTCAGTGACCTGACCTCTGAGGGTCAGGGGTCATATGGTCATTATCATCATCACCAGCTGCAGGACGACATTGGGCCGGGGGACATCCGCAAGCTGAGTCGATACTTGGAGTGTACGGCGGATTACCTGTGCAAGATTTTTCAGGTGGGTTGGAAAGTGCAAAAAGGAGTGAGTGTTAAGATTATCTACTGGCGGAATACTTTCTTTCAGAATTGGAAACACCACTCTCCACATGGGATCCTCACATATTTCTATAGTTCGGACAAGAATAATAATAATAATTTATACATTAATATTCTGCCAATTCCATAAGAATATGATCAAATGGGTGGCATGGGTGGCTTGTGCGTAAAGCGCTCGCCTCTCACCAAGGTGACCACGGGTCGAATCCTGGCCGCGGATCGCATGTGAGTAGAGTTGTGCGTTGGTTCTCTCCTGTGCCACGAGGGTTTTTCTCCGGGCTCTCCAGTTTTCCTCCCTCCGGAAAAATCAAACACTTTCGATCTCAGGCTGTGCTCCGTGGTCATATATGGGTTGATGTGGCCGGCAGCCATAGGCGCCTTTACGTGCCAGCAGCCCGACCACGTTGTAGCCGCGTCCTTCCCAATGCAGCATACCAGCTGCGAGTAAGGATGATTAGCCTCCCAAATTATTATTATTATTATTATTATAAATGTGCATCACAGTTATTATCTCTGTTCATCAGGAATGACACCCTGCATCAGCTCAAAATCCGCACAATGTGGTCTCTACCTTCGGTACCTATACTCCTGGGTGAAGAGAGGCAATCGTAGTAAAGTGCCTTGCCCAAGAACACAAGCACCATGTTCCCTGTCAGGGTTCGAACCACGGCACACAAGTCGAACACCGTAACCATTGGGCCACAGTGCCCTACTGATGCATTAGGCCCCAGCCACTGCGAACGTGGGAAAACAACACGTGCGTCTCTCCAGTGCGGCGCGACATGCTCAAATGTATACACATTTCAGACATTAACCCTCCTATGCAAACATGCATTCCGTGCAAAGTTGTTCTTTAGGTCAAAATCAATCAGGTGACGTTTTCAACAGTGCTCCGTGCTTTCATAAAGCAGGATTGACTGGCTGTGATTGTTATGAAACCTGATATAGCTATGCTTTCACTGTAGGAGATTGATAACCCAGTTGTGACTACCAGTCACCTGCTATTGTCTATTGATGGAATTTGACTGTCACAGTGCCTACAAGAAATATTATCTGACTTTTAAGCCAGACAGTCTTGTTCTGTAGTTGTGAGGACATACACTCGTCTCTACAAGGTATTTGTGGGGACTGAAAACGCTGTGGGGTGGACAGCAGAAAGTCCCCATAACTCGGTCCTAATTCGCCTTACAATTAACAACTTCCCCATAACGCGGTGCAGGCAGCTGTACCTACCAGTCACCTGTCACAGTGCCATGATTTTTAAGTATGAAATTATTTGAATACTTCCATACACCTAAACTTTTGTGCCTCCATGCAGGTCAGTGCGCCCTCAATAACCAATGGTTCTATGGATGGTGGTTCCAGTGGGGGTGTAGGCAGTCAACAGAATGGCCAACCACCCCATTGCATCGAGGGCAAGTTGAGCCCACTGGGTCGCTACCAGGTATGTTGTTAAGCGAAACATCAATATTGATCACATATAACCTTAATCTCAAAATAATGTGTGTGTTTGAATGTTACTTTTATATCCCAACAGACGTAGTGCCTAATTTACATAATATATGTCTTATGTATAAGCCCGAGTAAAAAAAAATAAACCAGTCACTTGTCCCCGCCTGCTTTCTTTTCCCGCCTGCCTAATTTTTGTTTTCTGTTTTTTAATTCATACATTTGCTATATATTTTGTAAATACATTGTCAATATGTTTTTTTTTTATTTGTTTTCATTACAATTGTAGCTTTGTAGAAAGGGTGACAGCTCCTTTGGACACAATGTTAAATCAGAAAAAGAGTCGAGAAAACGGAAGAATCCAACCACTGTCTTGGAAGATCCGCCATCTTCGAAAAAAACAACAAAGGGGGCCGCCTCTTTTATTTTGTCAAAAAGACTGGACAAGAAACCATTTTTTTTCACTTGACCCTATTGTGAGCCAATCATTGTAAACTTTTGAGTTGTTTTGTGTTGTGCCCTTTTCAACCAAATAAATTAAACAAAACATAATCCTCCTTATCTGCTATCCTTCAAGATCCTTCACATGTTCTGTCTCACTGTGTTGCTCATTGTTTCACTGCTCTCTCGCTAGCTCATGAACGGACTTCGGAGATTTGAAATCACCTACCAGGGTGACCCCGACCTGCAGCCAATCAGAAGCTACGAAAACGCCTTCCTCGTCCGCAGGTTGTACAAGTTGTCAACGAGCATCAACGATACGGTAAGAAGCATGGAACCACGATGTATTTAGATACATAACAGACTTGTGATTGACCTGACAACACTGTTTGATCTGGATGAAGTATCGATTTGAAACATACATTCTATAACAGTTTTTAACCATTTATTCTCGTCTCCAGTTTGGCAACAAAATCCAGGAGTTGTACCATCGACCAGATTTCACGGGAGCCGTCGCCAAGCAGTTCTTCACTCCACCCACAGTCACCCCGACCCACAGACAGACCCCCAAGCGGACATTGTCATACAGCCCCACCCCCGCGCGTAGTTCAAGTGGCACACAACAATATCGGCCGAGGGTCAGTCTGCGATTTCTTGCCAGTCACTACACGCTGGCCAAGCTGGTCGTCTTCTTCCTGTGCCTATGGTTAATGGGCTTCGGTCCCGTGGGGGCAGTGTTTATGCTTGTCATCGCGGTGGCGCTCTACGGAGTTATAGGCGGGACGATGTACACCTTCGGACATGATAAGGAAACTCACGAACATCTCGACTGATGAAAAGCCTTGGTGGACATTTAGTGTTCTCGGCATGCAGTGTTGCTGGAATTCTGCTGCACTACTCAATAACATGCCATTAGTGCCCTGACATTTTACAGGAAATTAATCAGGGTTGTACAGGGTGAGTCAAAAAAGCGGAACCCAAACCCCCAAAATTATATTTCATATTAAAAAAATATGTAGCACCAAAAATAATTAGGACTGGACAGCCAATTTCTTAAGACACTTTTAGATGAAAAAAATGACAGAAATTGGTCAATCCGTTCAGAAAATATCACCTTTTAAACACAATGACCCTTAAACGTGTGTCGTCCAAAAAAATGCGATATCAAAAATCATCGTCGCAATTGTCTTCAAACATCACCAGCGATAAAATCTCAGTTTTAAACGTTAAAAATATTCAACAGAATCCCTTTGAAGGCCCGTCCTTTAAAAAAAAAGGTGATTTTATAAATCATATTGTTTGCCTAACCAGGGTTGTTAATAAAGATATTGTGTACTACAGTTGGTGACAGTTGTTGAAACAAGTATTCTGTGTCATTTTCTTTGTTGTTCCAAACAGTCAAAACACACAATGAATTGCTTTTTTTGGACGAGATAGGTTTTAGGGTCATTGTATTTAAATGGTGATATTCTCTGAACAGATTGAGCAATTTCAGTATTTTTTTCATCTAAACGTAGCTGATTAAATTGGCTTTCCATTCTTTATTATTTTTGGTGCTACATATTTTTTTATATATGAAATATATTTTATGGGGTTTGGGTTTCGCTTTTTTTGACTCGACCTGTAGTTGGGTCCATTACAATTCATATCTAAAGTCAAATTACATTTGAAATCCTAAGCGAGGTAATAGATGATTAATTATGAGAGAAATGCCTTTGTAACTGCCCATTTGAATGTCTGTACTGGATGACGTGTCAAATTGATTAATAGGAGGCTTTGTCAGTATAGGCTGGCGCGGACATCAGGAATTCCTGTAATCTCCTTATCTCAGTCCCAGGCCCATTTTCATTTAACTGATTGGTTCTCGAGACCGCAGTACTTGATGGTAACACATAGCAACGGATGGAAACACATTTGCTAATGAAAAGATGTTTTCATCAGTTCGGCTGACCTTAACATAATGCGGCGTTACCCTACCCTTTATGAAATGTGTTTCACTCAGTTTTATTTAAAGATTAAACATCGCCGTCTTCAATTAACTATGGAGTCTTTTTCATACCATCTTGACATTATACCAACACTGGGGTGGCTTATGGAAGTTTGCTTGATAGCTTGCTTGTTCCTCTGTGCTATTGGGCCATCAGCCTCGATCCAAAATTTTGGCAACTGGTATCAAATAAGAGGAATAATCGTCATCGCGATTTTTGGCAAGGTATACACCTCCAGAGTTGGAAAATATTTGATAGCATTGCAGCGGTGGCAGCTTTTTAGGCGTTATCACCCTTTTTTGCAAAATGTCTATCAAAATGCTTGTTACCACTCTAGGGGCGGTATACCTTGCGCATGCGCACTATAATCATTTATGCCCTGATCTGATACTGGCCAAACCCCCATGCTGATGGCCTACATGCATATAGAGCCTTTGCACTGCAGCCATGTTTGAGGTGTGTGCTTTTGTTCCACAGTGATACGCACGAGTTAGACCTCTTGCGCAGTCATTCTGAAGGAATTTACATAACAAAACACACCTCAAAGATGGCTGCTATATGCAATCAGTCTATTTCCGCTCATAAATCACCGTATTCAACTTGTCATTTTTATCACTGAGGGGATTATGTGCCACGATTGGACAGTGATTAAAAAGTGCCATTTCTGCATTGGTCGGTGCATGCATTCTTTCTTTTTTTTGGCTCAGGGTATTGAGAAACATGTTGTATGAAAATTGATCCTGCAATTTATAATTTATAAAACTCTCGCCTATTATTGGCTGAAGCATGCTTATGTTTATTATAGATATTTTGTGGCTCCTTAGTAGTAGAAAAGAAAGGACTTCGAGTCAAATTTTTAATAAAAAAGAAATTTCTTTATTGGGACAGAAACAAATCTCAGCAAAGTTTTTTTCTTGCTAATTGATGTCTGTTAACATATTTTTCACAAAGATGTGAATACGAGAAAAGTTTGCCAACTTGAATGTCATAATGGGTAGGCGTATGGCAGAACCATTACAAGTAATTAAAAAAGGATATGTTTAAAACAGGTCGATTTTTTAACTTCCCAGAAACAGGCCCCAATTTAAGCTGGTTAAGCACTATTTCATGGCGTGGACGTGCCAAGGATTGTGCACGCATGGAGATTTCTATTGTAACGTCACTGATTTAAGCAACTTTTCCCTCCGGGGTTAGGCATGCTTTTGCTGTGCTTACTGCTTACAGTATTTATGAAATAGAAGGAGACTTTGTTAGCACAAAATCAGCTTGTTAGGTAGCGCTATGAAATGGGGCCAAGGTTTAATGCAAAAAAAATTAAGTTGAAAAGGGAATGGCACTCTCCCGTACCTTTTTGCCAAAGGTGCATTTCTTTGGTTTTTTGGTTAAATTTAAATACTGATGCTAAACCAGTGTGGGACTTTCCATTGCCAAAAATTCTGGCTCTTAGTCTTGATTAATACAAAATTTCAGGTCAAACCTGAACAGATCTGAAGTTTATTTTTACAGAAATAAACCTTTCTGATCAGTGGGAACATTCGTCCCAATGATTTAAACCAAATAAAAACAAGTTATATTTCTAAAATATAAACCGTGATGAACCATTTTTGTGACATTTCTTATGAACTCAGGACTAGGTTATGCTGAAGTTAAGTTTGTACACTAAAAAAAAAATGCATAAAAGATTAAAATATTTCACAGGTAAATGTTTGGCAATCTTTGCCATTGCTTTGTAAAAATAAAAAAAGAGAAATAAATACAAGGTTGAGCAACGAATTTGACTGTAGTGAGAGTTGAACCTCTGACTCTGGAACATTTAACAGTACATATTATTTTCAAGTTTGCTTTCATTTGAATTGAAAATTATTATTCTCACACAGAACAAATACCCACTGTTTAGACTTTCGTTTTGCAACAACATCTTTTTTTCTTCACAAGATGCATTATCAAATAAAAAAGAGCTTTTTGAAAATTATAATTACTTTGCAACTCGGAAAAAAAGTTTTCCTTCGCCCCTCCAAGTGTGTTAGCTTCACACATCTGGAGCCATACTGAAAATCTCTAAGATATGAAATGTATACATTGGTCCAATGTAAATTGGCGTGCAAATAAAATATCTATTTAAAGGAAAAGCAATCACAACAGATAGACAAAGAACTGTCTAATTTGTCAATTCTTGTTTTGCTGCATACCTAAAACAGCATGGAAAAGAAAAAACAAGAGCGAACAATATTTTTTGCTTTTTCACCTGGCCTTTTTCACAGATGGCTTTCACTTGTGAACTCTAAATAAAGCTGAAAAAAAAGTCCAGCAATTTGGCAACATGTAAGTTCATTTCTTCAGCAGCATTTTGGCAAAGTCGGCATTGCTCATGCGTCCTGCAGGCTTGGCTTGTGGCTGCCCTTCCGTCACCCCTACTGTCACCCCTTCTGTCACCTGGCTTGTCACCCCTTCTTGTTTACCCACTGTCTTTGGGCCTTGGCTCTTGGGTACCGGTGCCCTCTGTAGAGCTCTCGGTACCAGCGACAGCTGAGTGCGACCTTTCCCTCGGGGACCAACGACGCCCCTAAAAGTGTAAAAATCAAATGTCAACTTCAAATTTCATGTTCAAAGTCCACAGGACCATTTGTAGTTCATTCAAATAATAAAGAGTATTACAAATGTTATTAAGGATTTTTCAAACTGAATCTGTCTCGTCAGTGGATAATTTACCCTTTGAGAAAACAGTGAAATGCTGTACAAAACTGAAGGCCCAACAGTGACACCACAGTCTCAATAAAAACCCTTATGTAAATTACTATGCAAGAGCTTGCCCCGAATCATGTGATTAGCAACAGTGTCTTTGGTGTGGAGAATTCAAAGTGAAAATGTGCCAAGCATTCTGAGCAAGTCAGTGTACCAGATGTTTTTCAAATGTAAATCCCAAAGGGTAAAGGTTACTCGCAAATGGCTTATTGCCCAAGCACTCTATTGGTTAATGAATTCTTCAGGGAATAAACACAATGTAGTACAGGTGTTATGGGATAAGGGAAGATTGTCCGACATACTTTGCTCCGAGTGACTTGGGAGGATACGGACTCTCCTTGACTTCACTCGCCCCCTCCTCTTTCTTTGGTTTCCTCGTCGGTGGGTTGCTAATGGCAACGTTGATGGTGAATCCTTCCATGACGGTCTGGTCTACTCCTACTAGGGCTCGGGCTGCATCAGCCTGTGAAAGGAAAAGAGTGAAGAGGAATTTTCAGTGATGAAATGCAAACAATAAAAATAAAAATTGTTTATTTTTCCAAGACATTTTATACAGATCTATGCTTCTTCTGAACATGCACGCTAAATGCAAAATATAAACATGAACATTTTTGAATGGAGGGTTTCAAACAGAAATCTTGCTTTCTGCCGAGAAAAATGAAGATGCTTTTTCACAGTTTCTCAAAAAGTGTGATATTCACTGAGCTGATTTACGACAGTTTAGTCAGATTGATCATATTGTTGTTTCTTGAATAGGCAAAAACACATTTTTTCTTGCATACAATATCCGTCACCTTTAGGGTAAATTGCATAAAACACTCTCCATGGCTTGTAACTCAAAATGACTTCTGAATCTGGCTAATCCTATTTATAAAATTTGGAACGAGTATTGTTTTGCCATGGGCAAAAGCACCTTCACAATAATTTTATCTTTCTTGGCAAAATAACATATGTTGCTGTCTCCACCAATTGTTCTCAAGCTTGCAAACCATCATGCTTTTAGACCCTGAAACATATGGGTTTTTTTCAACCCTGTCCGAGAGATTGCAATGACTGTATCTACATAAGAGTGTTCATTTTTCTCACCTCTTGTTCGAAGTCGACATATGCCAGGCCTTTGGGCACCCCACTACGATAGGTCACAATTCTGATGTTGGTTACCTTGCCGTACTGTAAAAGGTCAAGCATGGTTGATACAATATCATTTTTAAAAATGCCTTTGAGTCAATCAAAGCAAAGGAACACTCTCCCTCTCTGGATGGCAATTTCAACAAGGCCAGCCCAGCAGTCAAAATAAATCAAGTGACTGTTTTCAACAGTTGAGTGCTCCCTGCCTTCATAAAGTAGGATTGACTGACTGTGATTGTTATGAGACCTGATATAGCTGTGCTTTGACTGTAGGAGATTGGTAAGCCAGCTATGCCTAAAAGTTACCTGCTTTTGTCTGCTGATGGAATTTGACTAGTCATGGTACATATTGAAATATGAGCCGACTGTTGGTAATGGCATGGCAGGGAACAGGATTGAATTTTTCACTGTTGGTGACTGATCATACAAAAGGAGGGTTAATTAACGGTAAGAAAATATCAGCTAAAAAAACTGACAGAAATGAGAAATGACTGGCACGACAAACGTGTTTTGTTTCGCATTATGAACCAGAACATCGCGTCAGTTCACCAAGCATGCAATATAACTAAAGCACTTTTTTCTGCTCAGTAACTTCCTGGGGGAAAAAGAAGGTTATAAATAGGAAAAAGAACTTATACTATGACAAAAAAGTAGAAAAAAATTTACCAAGATAAGAGATATTCCATGTGTAGAATTTGTGATAACAATTGTCATTATTCATGAAAACATAAAACAAGGATAACTTTACCTGACCAAAGAGCTTCTGTAGCTGTTCATCGGTAGCTGAGCGTGGTAATCCAGACACAAAGAGCTTATTCTTCTCCATCTTCATATCATACTTGAAACAGAAATAAGATTTGTTTTTGTGTAGAATTATTTGCTTACACAAGCTGGAATTAAAACAATGCACTATGACAGTCCTTCCAATATAGTTGCTGGTCCGTAGTGGGCATCATTAGGCCTTAGGCTGCCGCCATGTGACTACGGAGCACAGACAGAGTTCGAAAGTGTTGATTTTTGTGGAGAGAGGAAAACCGGACATCCAGGAGCAAAATCCTCATGGCACAGGAGAGAATCAACTAACAACTCAACTCACATATGGTCCGAGTCAGGAATCGAACCCAGACCACATTGGTGAGAGGCAAGCGCTTTATGCACTGGTCACCCATGCATGCCACTTAGAAGTATATAAATATTGACTGCTTCGAGTGATGTGGTAAAACTAGCCTCCCGAGGTGATCCATGGAGCGTTCTGTTTTCCTGAGGAAAAGCCGAGGGAAATGGCATGCTCCATAGATCACCTAGGGAGGTTAGTTTTACTACACCACGAGTTATATAATTTTGCACCAGTGGGATGTCGATTGAAAAAAAAATGAGATTGATAAAAAAATCCTAATTTAGGACATGATTTATACTCATTGATGGAATGCTGATTTGAATTCTACTTACTTGGAATTTCTTCTTAGCCTCTTCGGTACTTCTGTCCACTGATCTATCCACGTACATCGGCCGACCCTCCACAAACTGTCTGTCCATCTCCAAGGCTTTCTCAACAGAACTCTGAGAAAGAGGGAAAAACAGAAAAATATAGCTATTAAAGAAAATACATAACTAAAATACAAAAAATTAAAAATTGAGGGTTTATGAATTATCCATTGGATTTACAGCAAGATCCTAGGGCGGCCTTAAGAGCAAACACGATGGCAAATCTGTGACGTCACAGCAAGTTTTGCTCTGCAAATTTGCAAAAGTAATTTTCGCAGCAAATGTTTCGTGCCTTCAAATTGGTTTCGCATTCACATGAAGTATGAACCTGCCTTTAAAATTTGCAAGCAACACTAAAATTGACATGATGGCATCAGCACTATTTTTCTGTCGTCATCATACCTTTTTTTTCACACAAAAGTTTTACTCGTTAAGTTGAATATTACAAACACTTCGATTTATCCAGAATTATTTCTGCAAACCTAAAGGACACTCCATAAGTTCTCAGAAAGCCGTAATGATACACCCTGATAATGATGATTTCCCTTCTCTTAAACCTAATGTACCTGAATCCATCAAAATCCACACCCCTGTTTCGGGGGATTTCGGTGGATTCAGGATACCTCCATATTGAAAAAGTTGGGTGATTTTGATGGATTCAGGACATGAAGCCAAGTGGTACTGCAGGATTTTGATGGATTCAGGATACCTCCACATTGAGCAGTTGGGGGACTTTGATGGATTCAGGATCTCAACAGATTTACTCCCCCCGGCTACCTGGTGGATTCTGATGGACTCACTGGCCACCAACATTTTGTTGCATGGCAAAATTGATGGATTATGGTGGATTCAGGATACTTTCTATTCAATATATACCAAGGGGTAAGGGTTAAAGCTTGAGTAATCTCTTGTACAAAAAGCACATACAAAACATACCTCTTCCTTGAACTCAACGTAGCAGTAGCCTCGGAACTGGTGACTATAATTCTGTACCATTCTGACCTCTGCGATTTCACCACACTGAAGGAAAACAAACACCACAAACTGATGAAGATTTCACTCACAATAAATACAGAAATAAAAGCAAGAACAAAAGTTGTTCCTGTGAGAAGTGACCCATAGATAATGAGCTTGTTATAGATCAAGAAAACAATCCAGCAGGATACTCGAAAGTTGGATGGAGATGTCCTCCCCAAACCAAGAATATATTTTTTCATTGCTAAAAGTATGATAGGGATTTATACGAACCTCAACGAAGATGTTCCTAATCTTTTTCTCGGTCATCTCGTAGACGAGGTTCTTGACGAATACAGTCAGGTGATCTTTGCTGGAGTTGTGGGGGGAGGGTCTCTCCTTAGGGGGCGGGCCCCATCTCACGCCTGGCTGTGATTGGCTGTAAGGCTCCTCCACTACCCAATCAAAGTACGAAAAAAATTACACCAAATGAAAGAGGGTTCGTCAGAACAGAAGTGCATTATAAACTCTACTCTTTCCTATCACTTTACTGAACAATGATCCCCGTTTGCTACGTCCCAGGTTTGCAGCAAAGTTATTTTTGGAAGTACTTTATGAAATGCTTTATACTTTTTATCGTGTAATGCAAGTTTTAAAAGGTTTCTTTGTATCTTCCAATGTGACTACTAGGCATCCAAAGGTCAATGTGTAAGCTTATTTTTAGAAAAGCATGCACAGTGGGTTAAAATAAAATCATTTGTAACTCAAAATCCTGATCATAACAACTTTTTTTTTCAGGATTAAACTCTCTGCCATAGCTATTTCTTGATTCTTGAGAGGTATTAGAATGCCAGTGCTTCGTGCACAAGTACTCCTTCAACGGCCAGCAAGGAGAGTTGCGGGAGACCTAGACTGGTTCCTGGTCCATCCACTGCGAATTTCGAATGATCCAAAGTTAAACGGGGCGGGGATTAGTCCGGGAGACCATCGCAAGTTAAATTCAAACGTATTCGCGCGCCAAAGACGCTATAGCTTTGTGCACATTCAGGATAAGTCGCGCATACTTCCGGCGCGAACCAGAACAGTGCGCACATGCGGTGTCCTCTCAAAAGTGGTAAAAATGTGCCCTCTGTTGTTGGCGCACGGAGCCCATACCAAGCGCCGCTCACGTTCTACTTTAATGAACATCCAGTTGGCTCAAAAGTTATAATTTTTTTCAATCAGACACACCCATGGTAGCGTAAAATCGCTCTATACCAAACATTGATCCCCGTCTGCTATTTCCCAGGTTCGCAGCACTGCTAATGTTGCTAGCATCATGACTATGGGCGCAATCCCTGGCGACATGGCACATGCAGGTTTATGGCTTATGTCCAGTGCCCCTTGAACAAAGACACTGACAAAATGGGCAACTGCCAACATACAGTGTTCTTTTATTGCAGTCTTTTATTATATTGAAACGCCCAAGCTTATTCGTCAAACACGGCTCCCGATTAGTTTGAACCCTTTACCTTTTGTTTTCTTGGGTGGGGCTGGGCTAGCTTTGGCTTGTTTTGGCGGAGTCGGTCCCTGCTGACCTCCAGGTGACCTTGTTGGGGAGGTCACTGATGTGGGTTGCTGGGGAGGAGGAGGGAGGGGCATCTTGAAGACATCTGCTCCATCCTGGGATTTGGGGGAGTCGCCGGCGGCGAGGAATGTGACAGCTTTCTTGGGTCTGTCATCTGGATGCTAGACACACATATTGTACAGTAGTAAAAGTATTTCTTGGTTTGTTAATTGACCGTAAGCTCTGAACATAAGACTTGGTACGTTTGGCAAACATTTGGGTAAATCTAAGAAATTCCATATAATCAACACACACCCAAAATGAGGCATGTCCCCCAAAACCTTGTTTTGAGTAATCGACGCCTGAAGTCGGATATACTAAAAAAAAAATTGTTATGAAAAAAATACTCCCAAAAGTGGAAAAACTGAGGAACACTTGTCACTGCCGTTGGCGGCGCAATGCATATGAAATGAGGACGGCAAAGTTCCTGCGACATATCTTGGAATAAATTACGCTACAAAAATAACTTTGCTGTCATTTGATAGCCAATGACGATTTGTGCTTTAACATGATGTATATAACTTGAAAAAGTCAAAGTGGGAACTATGCCTAAAGCTATGATACGGCAGGTCACAAATAAGTTTTAGATCTAATTCTTTCCAATGGGATCCCTTTGATTGCAAGTCAGATAATATCCAAACCAATTTTTAACATTTTCTAAAAATTCCAACAGGCAAATTCTACAATGACATAAATATGACATAAATATCATTTGCGTTCTGTGCATTTTTTGGTCGATTGAAACAACAAAATTGCTCAATATCTTAAGTAGTGTGCATAGCAGCTAACCTGTTGAAATTTCAGCTCAGTGGATACTATACATTTTGAGAAAACAGAGACACCCAATGCACAATTCTATTTTGTTTTGTAAAGTCTCTGTTTCATGTGACAACCATGATATGATTTGGCTACCCGTGAATTTGTCTACAGTAATGCTTTGAAGTACAATGTGACTATCCTTTGCCAAAAAAAAAAAACCTTTTAATTGCAATAGTTAGATAAAAGTGTGTATCAATTGTTTATAGTATAAAATACCCAATGTCTCAAAAATGTCCATGAAATAAAAAGTATCAAAAATGTACGACAATCATGAATACTTACTTTTCTCTTGACTGCTTTGGAATTTCTGTCTTCCCTTCTGTCATCTGGTACTCTTTGCTGAAAAGAAATTTGAAAAAAATCTGGAAATAATCTCATATTAAATACACAACGGGCACAAACCAACAATTGATGAGTATACTCCACAAACAAATATTTTATGCTAGTAATAGTTAAGACTTTTACTTGTAACGTCAGCAACAATACTTAGTTTTAACGAAAGCAGGCAATGTCAATTCATATCAAGGGGACTGATTAGTTTTCAAGTGTTATTTTTTTCTTTCGGATAAGAAAAAATGCTATAATCAATGAAACAAGATTTTTAAGGTGTGTTTTTGAACAATGAAATTGTCCTATTAACCCTAACAGAACTCAACCCATCAAACCCCAACGGCATGTTTTGTTGGAATCTGTCAGGATGGGTACAGTACCCCTAAACTGACAGTCTTTTACATTGGGTTGGCACACCTCCAGAATCAAAGTCAGAAATATGTGTGTACAGTTTCCCATGTGGTGTTGGAATTTGCCAGGATGGGTATGGTTCCTAGTAAATCATGCCAGGGAGTTAGGGTTAAAGCATACACTTCATATTTTCATGCTATTCTGCAACTAACCTTTCCTTTTAACTTGGCTGCTGCTGGCTTTCTGTTTGCTTCTTTGACGGCGTTCTGTTCATCTTTGGTTGCTTGCTTTTTAGAGCAAATAAAAGAGTAAAAGTTTGAACGTTATTTTTTTCTCTTGGGTATGGATAATTATGCACTTCTATCATCATGCATCAGAAAAAAATTCAAATCCTGGCAGAATATTTCTGAAAAAAAATCTTTAAATGAGGTTTCTGCTAGAGTTCTTTACGGGTTCATAGGGGAGAGTGGCCTGGTGGTAAGGGTTCGTGACTCATGATCAGAGGGTCAGGGGTTCAAATCCAGCTGCTGGCCATATGCTGTGTCCTTGGGCAAGCCACTTCATCCCCACTTGCCTCTCTCCACCCAGGAGTATAAATGGGTACCGGTATTAGGGACCGTGACCATTCAGCCCTGGTGTGAAAAGGGCCCCCCGGTACCTCGTCCGGTTCAAAGCCAGTCCGGTCTTCAGCACAGTCTCGTCCGGTAAATGGTCCTGTCTGACCAGAAGTTTTGAAGTCAGTCAGGCGCATCAATTTATTGCCCTACAGAGAACGTCCAGAGCAGAACAATAGCAGACTTACCGGATTAAAGATAAAATCCTTCCATAACGCCTTGGTATTTACGGTCCCATTGTGCGCGAAACCGCATGGCAGGGGTTTTGATCTGTGCCGACGAAAGTGTTCTATTGTTTCGCACTGAGAGATGAAAACCACAAGCGGGTTTCTTCTGGCATATATTACATGTGTCAATACTTGCAAACAATAGACCCCAGGATAGAGGAGTTCCTGATTAGCAACCGGACCAGCTCCTGGGCCGGTAGCTGGGACGGTACGAGAGGACTTCTTGGGAGGGGACGAGCTTACTGGGGGACCCTTTTCATACCGGGGCTGAATGGTCACGGGCCCTTAGCTGGGGAGTAACATGTGATGCACTGGCATCCTATCCCATCCAGATGCCAAGGAAACCAGAGATTAACGTCGGCCTGATGGACCATATTGGCTCGTGACCTACTTTACTTATGGGCATGACAATATAGCAATGGCAGTCATCGGCAATCCATCACAATTCTGATCCTATGAAAGATTTGAAGTCAAGTCCATCATAAATCAAGTAATTCAAACCAAAAGTCCATTTGTCACAGTTCATTTGAATGACTTGCAGCTTGACTAGGGACCGGATGACTTGTGACTGAGCAATGACCAACTTGTGTGACCAACTTCACTACAAGGCTATTAACCCTAACGTACCTGAATCCATCAAAATCCATACACCTGTTTTTGGAGGATTTCATCGGATTCAGGATGAGTCCATATTGAAAAAGTTGGGAGATTTTGATGGATTCAGGACAGTAAGCCGAGTAGTACTGCAGGACTTTGATGGATTCAGGATCTCAATAGTTTCAACTCCTTGGCTATATGTTTGGTGAGTATGAGGTATATGTACTACACTACTGGAGCCTGATGCCTCATTGATGGATTCTGATGGACTCAGGACACCAACATTTTTTTGTATGACAAAATTAGTGGATTTTTGGTAGATTCAGGATACTTTCTATTAAAAGTGCTCAAGGGGTTAGGGAATAATAGATTGACATTTTTGACTCCTGACCTTTGCCCTCATCGCGTTGACCCTGACCATCTGCGTCTCCACCCTCTTGAGGGCGCCCTCCCAAGTCTCAAACGTGCCTTCCTCCCGCTCAAAGTTGATCAGCGCCTCAAACAGGCATTCTGGGTAATCGCTGACCGCGGTGATGGCACGGTGGAGGATTTTCCGACAGTGTTTGGGATCTCCATAGGATCTAAAAAGACATCAAAAAACAGAGTCCAATTCTGAGTCACTGTTGAACAGTGGAAAACTCCCTTCTCTGAAGTGCCACTGAAGCAGGCTTGACTCAATTCAGCAATTTTCTCTGTTTCTTCCAGGTTAAAAAAGATTTTGCAAGGTAAGGGCCAATTTTCACAGATGCACGGTCATCCACAATTATCAACATTTTCAAAAGCGTAAACAAAACTTCTTTTTGGCAGATCCCCTCCCCTCTCTGAAGGAGAGTACTAAATGCTAATTTTCAAAGATATCCTGGAACAAACACTTTATTCGTATCGTCACGATTAGTTACGGAATAATGGCATCTTGAAGATAGGCTAGGCACACGAGGCGCTTGCTGTATGCAATTCATTGCTACAAAAGTGGCGGCTAAAAAGGACCGCATTGCGTACGTTTGTCAACGGTGCGTAAAAGCAGACAGCTGAACGACAAATATGGCTTCGCCCGTGCATCAACAGCTGGTCCGGGACTCCGGAGTTCGCCAAGTTAAGGTATCGCAGGTTTTTTTTATGACAGATCTTCTGAAATCCCACTACCAAAAATACTGCACTGAAAATATCGATTGATATTTTACAAAATTTCAAAATCGTACATGGGTCGTTAACCCCTTCCCCCAGCGTACATTTTGTATGCTTTTAAAAATGTTAATAACTATGGATGACCCCTTATAGCACATGGGCGGAAAATGCAGATATGTGCAAATTAATGCAAGCTTTACAGCAAGACGATCATCATATCAAGCTCAAAAGCCCTGATTGTCAGGAAGGCATATTTATCACTCTACTATGTGAAATGTACACGCACAGTGTAAACTGGCCAACTGAAACCAGCAGGTTCCAATTTTTGCCCACTGTGGAATCTTGTTACAGCATTCGGAGTTAATGGGCAAAGCAAAATGATACAAAGAGTATAAAGATTCTTACCGTTCAAGGTTGAAGTATTCCAGCCACATCTGGGCTTGGTTGCCATGGCCTAGAGCCATGATCTCATTCCACTGTGTCCTGGCTGCTTCCATGTTGCTACAATGCTTGGCCTGCTCCACACACAAAAAGACACAGCAGGAGCATGTGAGAAAATGCACAAGATCTTGAATTACAGGCATATAGGATCATGCAATTTGTTCGTTTCCAATAATAACACCACTCAAAATCCAAGGAAGAATGTTCAAAACCTTTTGAAGTTTCAGCTCAGTGGATATTACACCTATGAAGGAAAGTGAAAAACCATGCACCACCTTTTGTTTAGAAAACATGATTTTGTTTATATAAGTCTTTATTTCCAAAAATTAGTCAATTGACTGATCGTTGGAAATTACCTACATTTCTTCTATAAAATGACAGCAAGCCAGACGGAATAATTTCACGGGATGTTTAGGACCAGTACAACCTTTAACCCTAATCCCCTAAGGGCTTTTTGGGGCCAAGTACCAAATACCCCAGAATACTACATGTGTTGTGCACACTTGTATGGAAAGAAATGCATACAACAGGTTACTACTCAGTAGTGCTTTGTACCTTTAGGTGGGGTTAGGGTTAATCCAAGTAAGCATTTTGATAATAATTTGGTAGACTACTTTTTGGACAAATGCACCTGATCCTACATGTCTCTAAATCAAACCATATGAATAGAGTTTATTCTGGCAATCTTAAATCTAGGCACTATCCGGTTCGTTAGTGACTTTGTCACACACGCGCTTGCACCACTGATTACTAGCGCCCATTGGATAAACACTCAAGTTGCGTTAACTTCCGGTTCCATTCGTGCTATGCTACACAGTGTGAAGTATGCATGGTTAAGTTGAGATAACATCATACTAACAAACTGGATTAATATCAACAGATCCAGTCACTGTACCTCCATTCTTGCTGAGTACTGTTGAAGGCTACAGGTTGGGTCCCCATCCGTACTGAAATCTGTCCACAAAAAAAAGACACGTAGATCAACAACTACCTGTTAGGTTGCATCTGTTCATGGTTCCAATATAATACATGTGGCTATGGTTGGTCATAGCAGTACACATATGGCAAAACCATAGCTCTATGAACTTACAGGTTGCTAAATGTTCCCCTGCTCTATCCAGCGTTGTCCTCAGCTGTGATAACTCCTCTTCATGCTCTGAAAAACCACATGTTCCAGGAAGAACAATTAATCTGTCTGGTGACATGCAAGATGGCAGTGTTACACCCCAGCTATAGCAATGGTCCCTACTATAGTTGGGGTCCTTGTTATTTTATTTAACTAAAGTAAGGAGTTACCCAACAATAGTTTAGTAATTCGTAACTTCTGTACTTGGGATCGTCTCACTGATCTCTATATAAAGACTGGATAGTGGATGCCCATACACCATTCACATAGTTGAATTTGCATTTTGACCAGTTCACCCCAGATCTTTCAAAAATGGCCGCTGATATACGAACGTTCTATGCGTACATACAGCACCCCTGTGTCAAAATTTGACGCGTGTTTTGGTCACGTACACATACTATGATGATCTAAAAAGGACAAAATTCCGTTGTGATTATTTTTCCAAACATCGCGAAAAAGTGAACTGCGGTTTTCAAAAAGTAAACCACGACGTTTGAAAAATTGTGAACCATGGTCAGTGGTGGTGGACAAATGGTAAATCAGGTGAGCCACAATGTTACAAAAGTAAAAAATAACTGTCTATAAAGACAGCAACTTGTCCTTTATAGATCACCAGCCGGTCTCTCCAATATGGCTTCCAATGGCTTCTAATGGCTTTCTTCTGTGGCTTTCTGTACACTGTCCAGTCTTAATATAGAGATCAGTGATCATCCCAAGGTCTATTGATCATCATTTTATATCAGTACCTGGGCTCCTGTTCATTGACATTCTATGTTTGCATACCTGAGCTCCAGTCTATTCTCCTCCTCAGGTAGTCAATGTGTGTTTGCCACAGCTGAAGGTATTCTGTGGCTGACGAGAATCCGGCACTGAGTGCCTTCTCAAATGTTTCTGAGTAAAACAAAACAAGAGAAGGCCAAAGCCTAGTAACACTGGTCAAAGAACGCACAAAATTCTCAATTGACTCAGAATGGCTATTCACTGGAGGTCTTTTCATGCATCTGGTCTTCACGATGGACTGGATTTAACAAAAGTGCTCAAAATCTAAAGAATGGTGCTGAACAACTAACCTGATGAAGTTTCAGCTCAGCTTCAGCTGTATATTTCGAGAAAAACAACATTCTAGGATCTTGATTTCAAATCAAAAGTTGCTGAATCATGTTTTGAATTGGGCCTGAATTCAGCATCCGAGACACGTTCTCACTGAGCCGATTGCAGCTATGCGATGTCGCCGAACTGATCCGACGAATAATAGCAACAGCACGCACGTGTGCATCGTGTCAACGCTTGCGCGTGCTTCGCCGAATAAAAAAAGTAACTACTAAGGGAACTTTCCGATGGTGCTTCTTAAGACGCACCGTTGGAAAGGTCTTCTTTGGTTGATTACTTCAAAATGACAGCTTGCCAGAGAGAATAATTTCACAGGGAGTTTAGTCCCCTTACTATCTTTCAACCAAGTCTGTTTCAATAATAATGCCGCCAGTTACTTTTTGGATAGCCGCAAATGATGGACTCTGGTTTTAACTGGCTTAATGGGGTAACCCTACATGATAGCACTGCCAGGCTTACAAGTGACAGTGAGTCAGTAAGTTTGGTGAAAAGAGGACACTATGCTGGCATCTCCGGGACTAGAAGGAGAAATGTTACTTTCAAGATAAAATGGAAAGCTTAGCTAGGTAGCTAGGTTCGATTCCTGCCCTGGTCCACATGTGGATTGGGTTTTTTCAGTCCCTACCTGATTCCTTGGCTTTCCCCAAAAATATTCTGGGGTTTTCCTCCTAAAACTATACTGTCTTCGTTGTCTACTTTCTACATGTTTCTTCAGGCTTGTGAGCTATGAGGAATCCTTGGTATCATAGACAGACAGACTGACAGACAGACTGACAGACAGACCATCATTTCCCTTACCAGTGATAGTACTGTGTGGTTGCTGGTATCTCTCCAGGTCCACTAGATAACCTACCCAGAGCTCCGAGGACCAAGGACAGTTCCTGACTGCCCTGGCATACACGGGCAGAACAACACTCTTAATCTGCAGCTTGGCATCCTGAACAGAACAAAGGGAATCGAGAGGACAAGTCTGTCAATTTGGCCGTACATGTCAAACACTCTAACCCTAACCCTCATCAATCCTCCAAAATTCTCCAGCAGGCATGCAACTGGGAATTCAGAAATAAAATGAGGAAATTCCAAACCATACAAGACTTTGTACAGTGTTTTTCAATTTGTAATGGCCTTCATGAGAAGTACAAAACGAGAAAATCAGCGGATCCGAGGACAAGTTGCATGCCTGCTCCAGGCGGTTTTGAAGGATTTTGGAGGATTGAGGCTAAATGGCAAAAAAAGTGTCAGTTGACTTTGGAGGATGCATAGTGTCGAGTTCGTAGGCTGTACCAGCATTGTTTATGTTCAGCCATTCATAAGTGAGCCCTGCATTATGCTCGATATCATCCGCACTGCTTCTGAATGTCATCGGCACTGCCTCAACCCATTAACAGTAATTGTTGGAGGATTTTGAAGGATTGAGGCAATGGTTACCCCGTCATGGAACAAATTGAAGAAATAGCGGATGGTTTTGGAGGATTGAGGCTGAATCAATTTTTTGCATGGTGGCAATTGGAGGATTTTGGACGATCGAGGATGGTTCCTAGCCAAAAGGACCTAGGGGGTTAGGGTTAATGAGCTGCTTTTGTAAAAGTGAATGCGATACATTACTAAAATATGTGACATCTAATGAGCAGAAAACAATTACAGACCAAACCAAGGTACCACCACCTAAGCAACCTTGTACAGCATGGGGTCAGACAAACGCAGATACTTGGATTTTACAAAATAACCCAGGACTATTATTTCAGCTCCTTAAATATGCTCATGTGCTGGACGATCAACACAATCAACGATGGATTGGAACTTAGTACTGGCAATCTCTGGGTCTGCATTTCTCGTTTAAATGCGCTAATCATACAACTTACCAGGTACTTCGTGTAGTCCTTCCACAGCTCAATCTGCAGGCAGTTATCTGTCAACGCACGCTCGTACAGACACTGGATGCGTGCTGGGTTGCCCTCCGACTTCTCATACTCCAAGTAAGCTCGGTAGACTTCGTGATTTGGAGGCTCTGCTTTCAACTTAAAAAGAAAATATCCGAGAACAGAAGCAGACTTTAGATGCTTCGTTCCAGTCCCTGAAAGTCCCTGCAAGTCCATCACAAGTCATCCAGTCTCAAGTCAAGTCACTAGCTTTTCAAATGAACTGTTACAAAAGCATTCCTTTGTCATTGTTCATCCTGTTACTTGGGACTGGTTTTATGAAAGGACTTATTTTGTGATGGACCCAAAAACCCAACGGTTCATTCAAATACAGACTGGATATTAATTTTGTTTCGTTTTTGTACTACGTGTGATACGTATGCAAACCAGTACATACATGTACAGGGTTCCTTATGGGGTAGAAAACACAATAGAACAATAGACCCACAAGGAAGCCTTTGGAATTCAATCTACCCCATAAGGGAAACGCTATGGAGTTTGAGATTTCAATAGGAACAAAGGAGAACAAATAAGGGAATAAATGTGTGTTTCGGAGGTATTATAACACTCTGTTTAAAACCGGTGTGAGTCTGGATCCGGTAATTATCACCCATCCAGACTTACACCACCTCCATGGTCGCGCATACTGCGCGATGTCGCGCAAAACGCAGCTGGGCTGGTGTAGTGTGAATATCGGACTATGAAATAATGATTCACTGGTAGTATTGCATATGCATACGTGGGGAATTTGAACGTTCAACCAATGAAATGTAAAAGGCACCGGATTTCATGGGAGTCCAAATCTCATGTGACACTGGGAAAGTGTTTAAGACCAGCTAGCCATGTCTTTATCATCCGTTTAAGACCGGCCACGTGACGGGTTCTCGACCAATAGGAATGCGTAAAGGGTCTTAGGTATTTATGAATCTGAATTTAAATCCCACCACTATCTAAGCCCCCAGTCGCTGACTGGCCAAAATGTACACTCAAAGAGCATGGTTATTACATAAATGAACTTACCAGCTGTTGTTCATGGGGGTGACAATTCTTGAGCTTGGCTACAGCTTTCGCGTACCTCTGCTTGACATTCTGAGAGACAGGTTCACTGAGCCAGCTCACATACTCCTGGTAGGTTTCTTCCATGTCTAAACGTAAAGGCAAAAAGGAAACTTGTAAATTGAACTTGGCAGCCTTGGAAGACAACCCAAGAAAATTGCTAAATGTACAAAATCTCTGTATTAATTTTCAAAGTACACAAACAACAATACTTACAATCTACCACTAGTTACCCTATGGATCAAAATCTATCAGGGTACAATTTTGAACAGGTCTGTAATAAAGCTGGCATCATGTTGGTACAATTGACAGGTTAAATTGGATGCTGTAAAAGCTGTGCCAATATTAATGGTCAACAAATTATTTATCACACCAATGAAACAAGCTTTGGCAGATATACGGAGAAATCCTGAGGGATTTGTGGTAGTTGGTGACCAGCCTGAACAAAAGCTACCAAGAGAGGTTGGGGTGAGTATTTTTTAAATTATTTGTGAAAGTGCAGGAGGGCGAGGTAGTCTGTGACTAGACTAATCAGCGTTCGGTTCAAGACGTTCACGTTAAAAGTGACATGGACAGGTGAGCCTTACAAAGTCACTCCACCTTACCCATGAGTGGTACCGACAGCTGTCTCCTGAAGATAGCCGATACCCTCTCCAGCTGATCTGTAATTTTCTTGTCCTCCGAGGACACTGTAGCTCCTTGCTGCATCTGTTATTAAGAACAACTCATGTATAAACATATCTTTTGTTTTTCTCATTTTATTTTTTTTCACTGTCTTTAATTTAAAGGAAGGGTAGATCATTTGTCACTTGTGGATTTGTTTTGTTTGAAGCAACAAAAGTGCTCAAAATCTAAAGAGGGGTGCTTAACAACTAACCTGATGAAGTTTTAGCTCAGTGAATGCTGTATATACCGAGAAAACAATATTCTAGGATCTCGAGTTCAATTCAAAAGTTGACGAGTTATGTTTTGAAATGTGCAAACATTCCCTAGTGCTTTAAAAAGATATAGAATAGAATGACAAAAAAAGTGTGGGGTTGAAATACTCCAAGGGTCCTACCTGCATGCTCCGGAGCAAAGCGTTCTCAAACTCCCGATACACTTCCCATACTTCGTTACCCCTGGCAACGTGTAAACCAACAGCAGTGATGGCTTGCTCAAAGACCTGGCGAGCCTTCTCGGTGCCTTCCGCTGTGCCGATACCGCCGATACTGAACTGACAATACTCAAGCCACACATCTGGAGCTGTTGCAAAAAAACGCAAAAGATCAAAGAGATTTTCATCAGAAAACATAAACTGCCTGGTAGAATGGCACTACCCCAATAGATCCGTGCAAGTTGACCTCAAAACTGCAAGATTTTACGAAAACACGGTAGATCCAAGCAGCGCGTACAGCGCTCACACTGACTGATTGTATAGCTTGTATAGTGCACTGCACAGTAGGTTGCAGGCAAGCCTTCAAACTTCCATTGTAGGCAAGCCTTCAAACTTCCGTTGTAGGCAAGCCTTCAAACTTCCGTTGTAGGGAAGCCTTCAAACTTCCGTTGTAGGCAAGCCTTCAAACTTCCGTTGTAGGCAAGCCTTCAAACTTCCGTTGTAGGCAAGCCTTCAAACTTCCGTTGTAGGGAAGCCTTCAAACTTCCGTTGTAGGCAAGCCTTCAAACTTCCGTTGAAGCGATTATGCAGATAACAATAAGCCATTTGCGAGTAACCTTTACCCTTTGGGATTTACATTTGAAAACAAAACATCTGGTACACTGACTTGCTCAGAATGCTTGGCACATTTTAACTTTGAATTCTCCAGACCAAAGACACTGTTGCTGATCACATGATTCGGGGCAAGCTCTTGCATAGTTACTTAAGAGACGCTCAGCACCAATACATTGTTCACCATGGGTGAGAATGGCACAAAGACACCAGACCATGCCGGAGCTGGGGATTGCAAGCACGATGCTTGCCCCGAATCATGTGATATAGAAACAGTCTCTTTTGTCAAGAGAATGCAAACTCAAAATGTGCAAAGCATTGGATTAAGTCAGTGTTCCGGATTTTATTAAGGGAATAAATGTGTGCTCTGGAGGTTTTTATCACTCTGTTTAAGACCGCTTAGAGTCTGGGTGCTGATAATTACCCGAGCCGGTAAAAAAACCCCAAATAATTCGTTCAAAAAATCCTGATTTTGTTCAACAAGTTCACTTCATGCTTTTTGAAACATCCCTCTAGCAAAATAATGGAGTGTTCAGCTGGCGAGTAAGATGTAAACAACCCTTTTATGGAGATTGACGCGCGCGTAACATGTTCTGCGCGATGTCACGCAGAACGCACCTGGGGCGTTGCGTTTTGAATTTAGAACTATGAAATTCTGACTCGCTGGTAGTGTTGCGCATGCCTACGTGAGGATTGTGAACGTTCAACCAATAAAACGGTAAGAGGCACTGGATTTTTAGGAGTCCACATTTTATTGCGACACTGGAAAAGTGTTTAAGACCAGCTAGCCGTGTCTTTATCATCCGTTTAAGACCGGCCACGTAACGGGCTCTCGACCAATAGGAATAGCTAAACTGTCTGAGGTATTTATGAATTAAATTTAACTGGCATATGGCTTATTGGGTAAATTTAAATGTTGGGGTCTGTGACTAGGCTAATCAGTGTTTGGTACCTACATGTGGACTTTCACATAAAAAAACGAATGTGGACTGGCGAGACTTGCATAAGCAAATGCTGTCTCCAATTTTCAATGATTTCGACAAAAATGCAGAAAGGTCTCATACTCTTGCACTTACACACATAATCCTGGACAGCCTTCTCAAAGAGTTCAAGGACCTTTTCTCTATCATCCGGAGTAGCAACCAGGCTGATTTCATCTTTAATCCAATCCAGCCACAGCTCTATAAAAGGAGGTGAATAAAATAAATGATAATCATATTTGCAAATATCCACAACATATGCGACCTGTCCCCACAAAACAAGCTTTAGGTTGGAAATTACCATTGTGCAGTACAGTGGGGAAAAGCCAAAATATGAAGGGGCGGTTAACGTTTTTGTTTTCAGGTGAGCCTGTCCGATTCAACCATTTCCCATTTTGTTTTTGTTCCATCATACATCTTAAAAACCTATTTCCATCCCTTTTAATTAGTTAAGGGATCATTCATGATATGTGTAATATAACAGCAGGATTTTTAAATGCCATTTTCTCAAATATTAGTTTTAAATCTTCAAATCAACTGGTGGTCTATATTTATTGAATGTAGCACCCCAAATTGTTAGATACTATTAGAAAGCTGTTGTTCTGCAGAATTCAGATAAAAACCATCTCAAATTTCAAGAAGTTCATTTCCTGGTGCCAGGTCAGACGCATATAATGCTCACAATGGAGTGTGCTTATACAATACTGAAACCAGGAAATGCCTCAAAAATCAAACATTGAACTTTTGAAGATTTACGTTGGAAAAAAAGAAGAAATTTTGAACTAAGGCCAAATAAAAAAAACAAACATGTTAAGCGTCCCCACCCTCTTCCTTTTTGGAGGCCGCCTCTTTTCTTTTTTTTTTGAAAAAAAAAAAAAAAAAAAAAAATGATAAATTTTAAACAGTGACATCATTTTGGCCTCTTTGTCTGTTGCATCTAGCCCATATAAAGCTAGTATATCATTTCCTGAGTCCAAGTGGCGGCAATTTTTAAAAAAAAGCTGGTGGCCATCTTGAAAAATGGCCAGGCCGGTCGTTTTTGAAAAATGAAAAAAAAAGGGCCTCCTCCTTCCTTTTTTTTCTCAAAAGGCAGGACGATAAACACATTTTTTTTATATTTGGCCTAAACTGACATGCCAAATTTCTACTATGGACTGGTTTGAAAGCCTGAGGTAGGATAGCCAAAGTTTTTTTTTTTTTAATTGGCAAGCCAAAACCAAGAGATTTTAGAATGGAAAAAAGAATCAACAAGTTGGATGGAAGAGCACACCAAAAAACATTTTCTCCGCTTGGACATAAATTGACCAATTAAATTACAGACAACTTTTACACATTCATGACATTGCTCAACATACCTGCAGTTAAAGGGAACAAGTCACTCATACGCTGGTTGGCCTGGCGTAGTCTGTCCAACTCCCCGACCTTCCGCAGCAGTTTGATCAGTTCAATGTGACAATTGTACTCATATGGGTTGGACGAGATCTACAAACCAAAGAGAAGGATAAAACAATTAGAAAGTAAATATCAGTCTACAAGTATATCTCAAATTCAGGGAACATACATTTTCAAGCAATTTAGCACACATCTCTGTGTGGCTCTAAATACAGAAGAAGCCCAGTTTGAGGCATAAAAAAATTGTGGAAAAAAATGTTGCAACATAATGCCACTTTTTCTTCATCTCAATGAAGGTCATTCATTGCAAAATTGATGATAAGACACGAATCTGGGACTGAAAAACATTTCCAATTTTGTTAGGAAATACATGTACACTCTCCATCGACTTTGTACACAATCGCAGAAGTGGTGTCAGGTTGCAACATTTTTTCCCTAAAATCAGTCATACATGACGCGGGGGTGCAAGAATTAAAAAAGGAACTCAAAATCTGTCTTTCTTAATTTTTTATTTATCTATTTATTTATTTATTTTTGTTTTGTTTTATCTGAGGTCATCTAGTGTTTACTACTTAAGTAAAAGAAAGCCGGTGCAGCCAATATGATTAAACCCACTCAGAGAGCGCCTACGTGAAAATAACGTTTAAAAACTACTGAAAACAAAAAATTTGGCATCGGCCCACTGTCAAACCTAGTCTATGTAATAGACCAGGGCTAATACCGTTGTCTATGAAATGACACATTAACACGAGTCGGAAATTTAACGTGTTCACGATCGCGAGGGGAGCTGTTTTTAAATTTGACAAAAAAAGGATGAAAAGATCCGTCAGTAAACAGTCCACCAAAACTGACAACTTGTAACGACACAGCGCAGCGTATTCAGTGCGCCAAAATGATGTACATATGCGCTGTTGCGCGATGCAAAGCATACAATCCCCCTCCATCCCAAATGGTCGAGCAAAATGTTGAGTTGACCTGCTGAGGTCACGCGAAGATCAGCGCACGCGCAACGTACGTAAACACACACTTGAACATATTAACCGTGCATTCGTCAGATGGGAGACGCGAGGCTGGTGAGTAACAACTCAGATTTTCCACCCCAAAAAATTGTCCCATGATCCAAATGTCAATCGTTCTAAAACATTTCAGAGTTATACTTATAGATCAACCAGCTCAACTTTTTTGGTGGATTTGTGTTTCAGAAAGTGGAATTTCAGACAAAGGTATTTTGTCTATCAAATTCAAAGGGCATTTCCAAAAGCCATAGAGTGCTGACCCCCGAAAAAGAGCATTCCAGAAGGCTGACGGAGAGAAGCCTTCTGATTCCAGAAGTAGCTTGGACCCTACTGACTATCGCGAGACCATGTCCGAATGTAGTCCGAGTAACTTGGACCCAACTTATCGCCTTTTTTAACATTTGGACATGGTCTGGCGATAGTAAGGTCCAAGCTAATAGTGCAAGCTGGACAACATCATCCTGTCACTGTCCCAAAAAACAACATTTTCCAACAAAAAACATCAGATTTCACCCTCAAAACGGCCTCCAAATTACTAGATATGCCACCTGAGGTACAAGTAGACATCGATGATTAAGATGGTTGTACTGAAGTTTACTTACGATCCGGAAGAAAAGTGAAATTTCCCGTTCATTTCTGAGAGTTCCCCTCGCGATCTTGAACACGTTAAATTTCCGACTCGTGTTAATGTTTGAACGACGCGATTTCTTCTACATGCCCAGCGTACATTCGATGGTCCCCGTATCCCGAGTGCGATTCCGTTACCGAGCGCGCGCGATGCATCGATTAAGATAATGAGTAGACTGGATCACGTTTGTAAACACATGTGCATTTCGAACGATAATAGGGAGTCAGGAACTAGCGCAGCTTTTATGGCGGATACCAGTTCAAGCTGGTTCCCGATTCCCTTTTACAGTTCGAAATGCACATGTGTTTACAAACGTGATTCATTATCATAATCGATGCATCGCGCGCGCTTGGTAACGGAATCGCACTCGGGATACGGGGACCATCACATGTACGCTGGGCATGTAGAAGAAATCGCGTCGTTCAAACATTAACACGAGTCAGAAATTTAACGTGTTCAAGATCGCGAGGGGAGCTCTCAGAAATGAACGGGAAATTTCACTTTTCTTCCGGATCGTAAGTCCAAATGTTAAAAAAGGCGATAAGTTGGGTCCAAGTTCCTCGGACTAGTCCGAATGTTGGGTCCAAGTTACTCGGACTAGGCTATTGCCATGTTTGCTTTTCAAATGACTTGGAAATATGGCCAATTGAAAACAAGTGCTGCTTTTAGTATCGGTTTACACCCCGGCCACACGTGGGTTTGTTTATCCAATTTCTCTCCCACAATTCATTGCGCGCTCGAGACTTCGATTTGGCTTATTCGCCTGAGCTGCGCTGCAGAAAATGTTGGGCTTTAACCTGAGATTCCAGCTCTTCAATAGCGGAATCTTCCAAATCGTCATCATCACTAGACGACGATTCTTCTCCCTCTCCCTCCTCCATTTCCTCCTCTTCGTCTTCGCCCCCATTTTCAGGTTTCTCTGACGTTTCTTCTTGTTGAGACGTCGACAAAACGTGTTTATCGATGGTGTCCGCCATCTTGACTCTTGGGAACAAAATACAGGAATCGCTCTACGTTGGTGTGTACAGTAAAACTCGGATGGCTAGGCAGAGTGTCCACTCGTAATACTGTTTGATCCCTGTTTATTTCAGTTTGACGTGACTGTCACCAATTTGTCAAAAGAGGGCGTGCTTTATTGTAAACAAGGCGGTGTCCGCCTTGTCGGCTGGTGCAATCTATTGCAATGCAGCAATGCGATGGCATGAAATGCATGCATGACGGATAGTTGTGCAATTTTTTGAGTTTTCATGGTCAGTTATTTTTAATTCCGATTTTGCCATTTAAGGACAATTGTTACCAAACTTCCTGTCACAGTGTCAGTGTGTTCAGAACTGCTCTACCTATGGTTTAGTTTCAGAAATCATAAAAATATTTTAACATTAAAGTAACATCTGAAATTAGTTATTGTCTGAATTACTGAAATAGTGATTAACAAGTTAGACCTCGTCATTATGCCAGGCTCCAACGGTGGTGCTGTTATCGTAAACAAGAAGGTTGTAAGTACAACTTCACAAGTGGTCATCACAACAATTTGCCCAGCCTGATGTTACAAAATTGCGGGAAATGTTTATCAATCCCAAAATTCATTGGTTCTTTTGCGTAGCGGTCATTTTAGAGGGTATCTATTGCTTTTTGAATTCGTTTATAGAAGTGAATGATATGCAGGAGTGACCAAGAGATTGACTCATGCATGTCTGAGCAAAACACGGGCATTGCCCAATGCCCACTATAAGATGGCTGCTACCATACTCCATGCTCCATACTGTTACTGTTAGTCTCACAATTCGCAGCGATGATGCACACTAAATTACCTGAAAAGCTGTGTTTTCTGATCTTTTTTTTTCCCCACTTGATATTCGCTATGAAATTGTCCACGGCTACACATCACCAGGCGGGATTAGCCTCACAACTTTCACATTTTTTTCTTGCAGGATTCTCCATCCAAGAATGGGGTTCAGAAGAAGGACCCCTATGCTGATCCTAAGAACACCAAGCTTGGTAAACGCCTGGCGTACCTCCTGCGATATGGAGCAGTGAAAGAGGGGCTGGCAGTCAGCACTAGAGGTAAATATGGAACTAATTATGCGGACTGTAGGGTGTAAATGTTGGGCATGTTCGGTCCATGTGCACCATCGGTTGATCGCGTTGATCGGTAAATCATGACGCTATCGGTCAATACTGCTGCCACCATCGAACACCTTTTCTTTCTAATTCACAATTCTGGAGGATTTTTGGGAAGAATTCCATACATGGACATCACTAATTTTTCCCTGCAGTGACCTATCACTGCAGCAATAACATGTCAATAACATAGCAATAACATGTCCTAAAACGTCTAATTTAGCAGGGAAAATATTGTTGAAGCGCTTACTGAGAAAACACTTAGACTTTCTCAGACCAGTCTCATGTGGTTTGTGCACAGGGTGTCAAGTACTTGTCCAGGTATGGAAATCCTTCCGATTTTATTTTAAAAAGGTAAGTAAAGTCTGAGATACAAATGTACATTGTACCTACAGAATCAACCCATCGTGCAACGTGATTGACTGATCGTGCAGATCAAGGTATTGCGACCAACATAAATATTATCAAATGTTGTCACTTAATGCAGAAACCGGCTGCATAGTGGTCGGGTTGTGAGACCCCTCCCCCCTCCCCCCCCCCCCCCCCCCCCCCCCCCCCGCACTGTGACGAGTTCCGCTCAGAAATACAAAAAAAACCATAAAAATCACCGCCAACAAATTACACTTTGGATGAACCTCCATGTTATTGTGTTTTATTGTGTTCACACTGTTGCGCTGATAAAACTTTTGCTAAAAATTTCAGGGGAAAGTGGTCAGGAAATGCCTCAGTTTGCACCAGGGCATCTAGAATCCAAATTTTTGGGGGTCCTTAATTTGACCCTCAACCCCACACCACAAGTGTAAGGGCTTCGCGCTCTGTGCTCGCATATAATTGTAAATAGTTCCACTTGGTGGGTTTGATGACCCCCCTCCCCCCTCTCAGTCTAGGATCATATTTCATGAAATTATTAAGGATGACTGGACAAAAATGGTAAAAACTGTCCAGAATACTGCATCTTGGCGGTGCTTTAGCCTTAGGTCCTCTGTTACACCCCAACCGGCCCCAACTATAGTTTGGACATACCTAAAAAGGGCGGTCCCAATTAAAGTTGGTAAGATCCCAACTATGAATGTGCCTTAATTGTCACATAATCATATGGAAAACATGTATGACATTGTCCGTGTAGGCTGAACGCAGTTTTTACCGACCCCCCCCCCCCCAACTATGACATCGGACCCAACTATAGTTAGGACGGTCCCGACAATTATTGAGACTATTCTGAACAATAAGCCGGAACTAGTCGCACCTATAGTTGGGATGATGGTATGTAGTTGGAGCACAACACAGGTCTTGACAGTCTAGTTGATATTATCAGGCAATTTTAGTTTAGTTAATTGTGTTTTAATCAACAGCACAATGTATTAAAAATTATTTTCTTGTTTTTGTTGGAGCAGATAACCTTACACATGTACACAAGTCCTCAAGTAAAGTCAATTTAAACATCTTGAAGTTTCAACAAAGAATTGTGGTCAAGACGTTCCCCCCCCCCCTTCCCGTACCCGGTATCTTTTCTCACCAGCCCGCCACTTGAACACGTCTCATCACCCCTGGAAGTGGATCTCGGACAAACTCTCCGATCCACCGCATCTCTCTTGTTTGGCCCGCCAGGACTGTCAGAAATCCAAACATTTACGAATGCAAGATTACCTCCTGGATATTGTTTCCTCAGCCTAATGTGGGGCAGTGTATACACAACTAACAAGTCGTCCATTACCAGCGAGACTTACAGGAGACTTATCCCCCGGCCCCACGAGAGCTCTGTCTTCCAACAGGCCGAGGGTTCCCTTAGGGAGCATAAAATGCACTATAACAGCTTAAGGATGGACAATCTGGCCGTATTTCATTCACCCCTTTTAGGTTCTCATAATTTGAGTACATTCATTGACTGGGCAAATTATTTATTTGTGTACTTACCCCGAAGGTGCTGACAGCAGTCAGAGAGACAAAGGGGGCGGATAACATTTCAGAATTACAGGGTTCAAGTGTGTGTGCTTTACCAAATATGTTGATAATTGTGTTGTCAATTGCTGTTGTCACAGTCAGTTGACAAGGACATGTATTTTGGATAACAAAACTAATATTCAGAATTGTCCTCCATGGACTTGTGTCTGTCTTGTACATTTTATGGTTATTTGTCTATTCAAACAAGTGGGCCACGCTGTATGCAACTGCGCATATGTGCACAATTCACGCCACGTCCAAGCCATACTTGCACAAGTCATGCTGAACGAAACCCAGTAAAATCCTCCTTACTAAAATCTATCCAATTCCAAAACAAACAGGCTAAACCAAACCTACCCCACCCCAACCAAACCCACCCCATCCCACCCAAACCCATCCCATCCCAACCAACGAAACCAAACCTACCCCACCCCAACCAACCCACCCACCCAACCAAACCCACCCCATCTCAACCAACGAAACCAAACCTACCCCACCCCACCCAACCAACCCACCCACCCAACCAAACCCATCCCACCCCAACCAACAAACCAAACCTACCCCACCCCATCCCACCCAACCAAACCAACCCCATCTCACCCAACCCAACCGATCCCACTCACCCCAACCAAACCAACCCCATCCCAACTAAACCCATCCCACACCGAACCCATCCCGACCACCCCAACCAAACCCACCCACCCAACCAAACCCACCCACCCAACCATACCCACCCTTCCCCAATCAAACCCACCCACCCAACCAATCCCATTCGTACACCAACAAAACTCTCTCCCTCTCAACCAAACCCACCCCACCCCGACCTACATTTGTAACCCACCCACCCCGACAAAACCCACCCCACCCAACCACACCCACCCAACCCAACCCACCCCACCCCAACCAAACCTACTGCACCCCAACCAAACCCACCCCAACCAAACCCACCCCACCCAACCACACCCACCTAACCCAACCCAACCCAACCCCACCCCAACCAAACCTACTGCACCCCAACCAAACCCACCCCTTCCCAACCAAACCCACCTCACCCAAATAAACCCAACCCACACCCAAGCCAATCCATTAAAATTTCATCTGACCTAATTCCCATCTCAAATTTGGCTCAGTCCCAACGCAGACTCTTCTCGCGTAAACTTCCATCTCCTTCTTATCACATCTCATACAAGGACTATCTTGGGCAAGGCTTCTTTTTTCTTCTTTTCTTTTTTTATAAGCCGGTCCCGCAACCAATAAGCTGATTGACTGCGCTGGGCCCCATGTGATATGCATGGGCATCCACATGTCATCAGCCACTGTTTGCCTCTGTCGCAAAGTGTGAAATAGGCTGAGAGGGAAGAATCCAAATAAACATTGGAGGCTGCCACTGGGGAGAATACACAAGATCAATGTCTGGAGACAGGACTTAGGAATACTATTTCTGAAAGTTGATGGGGGGGGGGGAGAATATTGGTGGAGGAGGCATGACATTTTTTACTCATATTGGCCTTCAAATAATTCACAGTTTGGAAAGACTCACTTCCCTGTGGCTTTAAAGTCCCAAAACATTATCTTGCTTTTTATTTGATAAAGACTTTGTGATAATGAATTTGTAAAATGTGCACAGGGAACTGTAGCTGGGCATCTTGGAGAAATCTGAAGAATGAAGAAGACAAGAAATGAGTAAATCCCCTTGAATGATGTTCCAAGGAAACCAATAGAAGTGCTCTGTAAACCTCATCAGTCCGTAGTCATTCTGGATGGGACTCCAACTCACATCACACTCACAGAGTGCAACGTAAAATATTATTAACATTAATAAACGGTAATACATGTATGCAGCAAGTTTATCACTAGAATTTCGAAACCACTGTTTCGTACGTTCATTTACAAAGTGGTATCATGCTCAAGAATGTGTGTATGTGACCTAGTCACCACAAAGTGAGCATAAAGTTGGACTTTTGAAGAATTGAGATATTTGTATTTCTGGATTCTACAGCACAAGATCTTTATATAACATTTGGAGGTACTAAACAGACAAATACAAATGTACAATGTAGACCGTGAAGTGTCAACTAAATTGAAGTTGTTCATCTAATTTTTGAGAAACTGGCATAAAATCTTGCTGCGTGTTACAGTGAATGAACAGTCGAACAATAAAACGGGATGAAACATATTTAAAACCAAATTTTAAAACCAAATTTTAAAGATAAAAAAAACACAATAAAGCAAGGTTGAACAGGACCTACAGATTAAGGTTCACCTGGAAACAAAAAATCGACCACCCCTTCAAATTTGGACTGCACTGCAAAATGGCAATTTCCTACTTTATGCTCATTTTGTGGCGACAGGAGACACATAAAATAAGATTAACCCAATAATTTAAGCTCGATAACTTTAATAGTTCAAGACCTAATTATAGAAATAGGTCAACTGATCTGATTGTAAAAAAAAAAATTAAAAAGAAGAGATAGAGAAAATTAATACTATATATTGTTCCTTTAAGCCCTGTCTTGCATGTTTACCTTCGAACCGACGGCGTGAGATTTGCCTGACCGAGCCACGCAATCTCGGCGCTGATAAATGACGCTATATGCCAAGGGTTTCACGTTGGCGTGATTCACATCTCGCATCAAAACAGTCGCCGTGTCGATTGCAAATGTCTCATTTCCAGCCCTGGTGTCAATGTCATTGCGGAGAGAACCAGATGAATGATGGGTGGGCCTCGGACATTTTTTACCCGTTTGTTTTGTTTTAAGCTGAAAGGAAAGAAAGCCTACTAGTACAAGTACGTAGTTATGCATTTTCAGTTCCCTATCCTGAAGATTTCATTTGTTTTCTTATCACATAAACATTGAAGACTTTATTTTTGTTCTGAATAAACACCATGTGAAATTCTGTTCTAATTAGGCTGGCAAACAGACCAAGCCGACTTTTTATCATTTACATTTGTAACACCAGCTCTTTTCCTTTGGAAGATGCTCTCTCTTTCTTGCTGCATGGCTTCTATGCCAACAGAGCATTAGATGGTTAAATCTGAAAGATATAGTCCATCATTTGTAATTTCTGCATTTTGTCCGTTTGAAGCAGCAAAAGTGCTCAAAATCTAAAGAAGGGTGCTGATCAGCTAACCTTATGAAGTTTCAGCTCAGCTTCAGCTGTATATTCCAAGAAAAACAGCATTCTAGGATCTCGATTTCAAATCAAAAGTTTCTGAATCATGTTTTGAATTGGGCCTGAATTCAGCGTCTGTGACACGTTCTCACTGAGCTGATTGCAGCTATGCGATGTCGTGTACCGATCCGACAAATTATAGCAACAGCGTACGCGTGTGCATCGTGCCAAATCTTGTGCCCGCTTTGCCGAATAAAAAAATTAACTACTAACGGAAATTTCCAACGTGACATTGTCGGTGTAGACTGAATGCAGTTATTACCCCCCCCCCCTTGCAATTGACTTGTGATGGACTTGTGATTGCACTTGTGATGAACTTGGGATAGACTTTTGATTTGACTTGAGATGGCTTGTGATGGACTTATGATTGGACCTATAATTTGACTTGTGATTTGACTTGTGATAGGACTTGTGAAAGGACTTGTGATAGGACTTGTGATTTGACTTGTGTTGGACTTATGATGGACTTATGATTTGACTTGTGATTTGACTTATGATGGACTTATGATTTGACGTGTGATTTGGCTTTTGATGTGACTTATGATGGACTTGTAATTTGACTTGCATGTACATGTATGATGGAATAACTCTGCATATATGCCAATGACAAATGTGGGCAATTCTTATACTGCCCACTCCTGTCTTGCCTGTCACAGTGTATAAAGTTAGACTGAAAAAGAAAAAAAAATCTGTGAAAATACCTTTCTCACCTTCCATGTAGGTTATATAAAGCTGAGTGACGTCATGTCAGTGCCTCTGTTCTCCTGGTACAGCGAGGAGACTCTCATCGAGGAAATTGGCAAGGCGGTCTCGGAACGAGGCCACAAGCAGTATGAGCTGAAGACTGAGAAAGGAGAGGTCTACGTCAGGTCCATCTTCAGTCAGCGCTTTGAACGGGTAAGTCTGTAATAAGGTTCGGGTCTTTCTTAATGAAAAAGTCTTTTGTTGACACTTTTGACTCCTTATAGCAAAACTTAACATGACTTTATTGTGGATACTACTGTTACCTCTGAAGATTTTCCTTTCTTCACACAGCGAAAACACTGACAGATTTTGAAAAACAACCCAAATATTTGTGTTCTCCTGCATTACCAATGCGATGCCATTCACTTACACCTACATTTAGGAACGTATACATAAAGTACATAAATTTGTTATGAAAGGAGTCATATGAGGCTGGGGTGTCACCACATGACATTTTTTTCTTCAACTTGGAAGGGACAGGTACATTTGTCCAAGTGACACTAGAGGGCGCTGCTCATGGTGGCTACTTTGGCAGACAGTTTCAACATGCAGAGTGTGCACAAAAACATGTAGAAAACAAAACAATTAAAACTGTTTAATGTTTTTTTTCTTCAATGAAATTATATATTACCTTAAAGCCTGACTTTCTCAATCCACTCCTTTTGACCCCATTCCATTTGGGTCCCTTGATCCAGAAATACAGTCAATTAAGTGTAAATTTTACTTGGGCCAGTCTCACTGATGCCGCATACTTCAATGCCTATTCAGTGCCTATTCAATGCTTGACCCAGATTCAGCATGTCCAGGGTGAGAGTGGCCCAAGTAAAATTTACAAACTTAATTGATCAATTTCTGGATCAAGGGACCCAAATGGAATGGGGTAAAAAGGAGTGGATTGAGAAATGGTCAGGCTTTCAATAATATATAATTTCATTGAAGAACAACACATTAGGCCCCTAAACAGTTTTAAGTATTTGTTTTTTTAATGTTGCACTTTTTTTGGCACACTTGTACATGTACATGATTTTGCAGACAGTAATGACTAAATACGGGATGCACTCCCAAGACTATCGACTATGTCACCCCCCCCCCTCAAATACTTGTCCCCCATCCCCACCCCTCAAATACTTGTCTCCCATCCCCACCCCCACCCCCCCCCCTCCCCCCACCTCCAAAGTCAAGATGATAGACTACTTTCCTGCCTAGTTTGCAAACACTTTGAACATCAGTTTTGGAATACATGTAGATATGATTGCACTCTAGGGAAGCACCATGCACATAGATTGACAGTGACATCTCGAATATATCTCTACTGATTGCCATCTTGCGCACCAAAGCCGGTGCGGTTAAAAAAAAAAGTCGACCACCAACAATCTACATGATAACAAATTTCCAAATTGTTGGGATCGAAATTGCCGATGTGTAACGTTTTCCCCAGATGTTGTTTTCTTGAGGAGTCAGAAACCAGATCGTGGCCTCTCTACACCTAGTTCATGGACACATGTTGTCAAGCCACCCAGATGTGCACGTACACGTGTTTAAGGCAATCAAACAATTTGTAAAAAAATCTGTCATACACAGCACATATCTTGGGAAGGAAAGACTTATTACAGTGACATGTGTCAAAGTCAAATTCATTTCCAATGCTTTCATTTGAAAGTATTCCAAATTTCCATACCGACCTCACATCAGCCTTGGCTGCACTATTTTCTTTGTAATACGAAACTTTAAAGGTAATATAGGCCTACAACATTTGCTGTAATTTTCAGAAATAGATGGATTTGGGGGTTAGTGTTTTGTAGCAAATATTGTTACACTGACCTGTTTAAAGTTTTGTGTTCATAGATGTGGGGAATAGTGAGGAAGAAATGCTGTTCTTGTGATCTGTTTCCCTGACCCAACTTCAGACGAAATGGAGCAATTTTATAGACGTCGGTGAATTGTCAGGTCAGGGAACCACACTATAGGCTTGGACCCATTAATGAATGTGTAACCGATTGCAAACAAAATATCTCAGTAAATTTGGTAAATTGGGGGTTGGTATTTCAAAAAAGTCAGTTTTGACAAAAAAAGAGAAAAATACAGGGAACTGATCGATACAAAAATTCCAATTTTCTTGAAAATGACAGCACACCAGGTGCCATGATTTCACAGGATGCTTGAGACTATTATTCACTTACAGTCGAGTAAGGTATTTCATAATAATCTGGTAGTTTTGTTTTCTTATGTTTGCAAATGTTGTACTACCTTTAAATACTGGAAGGATGTCAGAGAATTAGGACTTAATTAAATTAAAAAGACTTGAGACGTTTTACTTCATTTGATAAATCTTGACATATTACTAAATGACTGGACTTAATTGTTATGAATTGACTTGCGAATTGACTTGGCTTGACTTTGGAAAAATTGACTTTTGACTTGACTTGTGAAAAAAAAAATTATTTTGCCTACATTGTACATGTAACTGATGTGAAAATAACTTGGTTATGAATCTGTCAAACTGAACTGCCTAGAAATAGAAAAAGGTTGAAATTTTGGGTCCATTATCTGATAAATTGAAAAGTCTACAAAAAGTAGAGAGAGTGCCAATTTGATAATGAGAAAAAATATCTCTTAATCAATGGTGAATTTCTTTTTGTGTAAAATTTTAATATTTTGTACCTTATTAGAAAAGGATTCAAAGTAGGATATGTTTATTTATGATGAGAATTATTAGGAACCTTCACACACGGGTAATTGCAATGGCTACATGTTCAACCGTACATTGTATTAAAAAATAGGTGTAGGGACTGCCTTTAAGAGCCAGACTGTGTTTAGGTTTGCCCTGACATCCAAGACAAATGATCTGCTGTCATATTTCTGGGAGACCTGCTCCAGATTCAGACACATCTGCGGCCATGACCTCTCCCCGGTAGAAGTACACGCACACCACGCACAAGCCTCGGCATGCTCCCTCCTGCCTCACACTCTGTAGTGAGGAAACCGGTCTGCGGGTCTGGCAAACTACGCGGGTCTCGACCACGCATGGCCTACTTCACTAATCTCCACTGACAGAGATAGATGGGCGCACAACCCAACCTGCATGCTTAACCGTTATTAATCACACAGATCAAGGCCTTCGCTTTGGAAATCCATCGGTCCCTGACTCCCAGGCGCAGCCGTATATCCACGGCAGCTCCAGTCTTGCCAGTCGCCAGTTCACAGGATAAAATTCACCCGCAATTTCACGCTGCCTGTCCAAAACTTCCCCCCTCCCTTCAAACCGTCGAGTAAAAACTAGGTCAGGCAATGATTAGAATCTAACCCTCAATCTCATGTTCCCGTTTGACTATTGCTCCCCTGCCACCGGTTAGTTTGATATAATTTCCCAGCAATCCATGGGTCACTTGCGGCTAATTCCTCACAGATTTAGACCGAGTTTTCTCTCTTTTTCTAGTTCTGGTTTCTCTTTTCTCCTGTCTCTCTCAGTCTTGCCGGGGCTGGTGTACCGGGGCGGCGGGCTGGTCGGGTCATGCCCTAGTTGTTAACAAGCATACCAGTACATGTAGTTGCCAGCCCGTAATTGGGATCTAATGGTTGACATGGCACTGCATCACTGTGGAATCTCTGTGCTATGTAACCGGCATTTATATCCCTTAATCGGGCCTGCCAGTAATGAACAGGCTCACGGAAGAAAAATGTGGACCATTCTCTGGAGATAGAGAAGACTCGCTGATAAAATAACATGCCATGATTTGTTTCAATTGCTTGGTTTTTTTTTCTCCACCTTTTTATCTGCATACAAATCTTAGCAATACATGTATTTGTTTTATAATGGGCTTTTAATTAATACATCAGAATATTGCAATACTTAAAGGTAATATGCAACATTTGCAAACATCAAAAAACAAAACTACCAAATTATTATGAAATACCTTACTTGACTTTAAGTGAGTAATATCACCATCATTTTTCTTCAAATCCCGCCCCCAATTTACCAAATTTAGTTAGTCCACATTTTGTTTGTACTAAAATGGGTGCAAGCCAGCTAGTCTGGTTTCCTGACCTGACAATTGCTCGTCGTCTATAAATTGCTCCATTACCTCTGAAGTAGGGTCAGGGAAGCCGACTACAAGAAAAGCATTTTTTTCCCCCTTGGTTTTCAAGTGTCTATGAACACAAAACTTTAAACAGGTCAGTCTAACAATTGTGCTGCAAAATACTAAACCCAAATCCATCCATTTATGAAAATTACAGCAGAGACAAACTGTCATTACCTTTAATTAAGCTATAACCGGGTACTCGTATGTGAACAGAATGAACCTTCGCCCTTGGAGCTGTGTTTTATAGCTCCATGCTTCGCCATAGTGAACATTATGTATGAATTCCTGAGTTTGCTTTTCTTTCTGTCAATCTTTCTGTAATTATATTTTCTATAAACTTGTACAAAAATGTACTTGCAAACTGAACTTAAAAGTCGAAAATGTTAAAAACGGAGGAATTAAATTGAATCATAAAGACGTAATTAACAGAAATTAGTATCATAGAGGAATTTTCTTGTTTACAGTGTGCGGAACATTCTAAATAAATCTGATGTGTAGTCAAATCACTGTTTTTCTATTATTAGCCGCCACACTTTGTCATATCCTGTCCTGACAGTCCAAAACGTTTGACCTTTTTGTGCCAGTTTTTCCAAATTTGTTTATTTTTGTACACCACTACGACTTGACAGGGAAAAATGGAGAGAGAAAAATAGCAGAGAGACAAAATATGCCTTACACAAAAATATGGCGTCAACACCTTGACAATGACAAATGAAACATACCATGTCACAACACTGGTGGTAGTCATGGCAGGCCGGGCTCATTACAGCAGACACTCCATCAATTACCCTCGCTCCCTCTGGATCAAAGGGTGCCGGCCTCATTAGGAAGGCACCTTGACAATTGGGTTTTGCTCCCCAGCGGTGACCGGCACCGGTCTCAACTTGCCAGGGGTGACCTACTATTCAGTGTAAGGGCTGATGGACAAGTTACAGATGAATGAAAGGAGTGATGTATCTCTGCACTCGGTGTCAATTTTTTTTTCCGGGTTTTTTTTCCAGTGATACTTTTACAAACTTATTACATGTAGGGTTTGAGTGAGAAATAATTGTATGAATACTTACCCTGGATTGGACATTTGGGAGACATCCCCATAGACTTGTGCACAAAATTGTTCAAACTTAAATGTGCCCTAACCCAATATTCCCTGGTCCTTTTCTTATGAATTTCCGTCTGTTTACTAATTAGACCACGGGCAACAAATATAATCTAATTGCGACGGCAAAATTGTACCTCTAAAGGAGGCTGTGACATTAGGGAGACATGAAAATGTCACATTAGGGAGACATGAAAATGTCTCCCTAATGACAGATGTCTCCCATCGTGTGAAGAAATTATGATAACGTGTCTCCTTAATGGTACCATCACACGTACAGAATGTATTTTTCATTATTTGTTTTGTATGAATTTACTGTCTTTTTTTTTTGGAGTTGGGGAGAGGATCCTTGCAAGTCCATCACAGGTCCACTAGTCTCAATTCAAGTCACAAGCTATTCAACGGCATTGTAACAAAGGCATTCCTTAGTTAATAGGGAGGTTTCGCAAGCGAACGGATACGCTTACACTTACGTTTAGCTCTCCGTATCCGTGTTTTACTTACGTGTAGCGAGCGAGATATGCGTGTCGTCTGCACGTATGACGTCATACGCCACTCACTATCCGCTAAACGTGCAGACGACACGCATATCTCGCTCGCTACACATAAGTAAGAAACGGATACGGATAGCTAAGCGTAAGTGTAAGCGTATCCGTTCGCTTGCGAAACCTCCCTATTGTTCATTAATTCCTCTGTTATAATTACCTGTGACTGGACTTGCGATTTACTAATGAAATTGTGGTATGGACTTGTGGTGGACTCAGCTACGGCGATCAGTGAGAGCTGATGAAAACCCAGTGTGTTTTCGTGTCCAGTACTTTCTTGTCAATGTTATTGATCCAGTGATAAAGGCGTTCACAACCACATACCAGCACCCGATTTCACGAAGTGCTGCGATGCGTCACAACTCAAGTTACGACGTGTAACTTTTACTGACATAATATTGCAGTCATCCGCGTACTGTTTATGAAAGCAAATAATATGGTGATGCATTTTTACCACTGGAAGCCTGATATAAATAATAATCAAAGAAATACTTTCTTCATTTATGCATTGGCCAATACAATACTCACTGTATTTTTTTTTAGTTACTTACATGTATTTATTTCTTTTTTGTTTCATTTCAGTTGCCATACCATGAAGGCACCAAGGTGGTGCGACTGCTGGAGATGTGCGTGCAGCAAGTGACTGCCAACATCTCCGACTACAGCCTGGAAGGATTTGATGACTACATCGTTACGTGAGTCCAGTATCCAAAACTCCCATCCCTTTCCATCGTATCAACAATCTCAAAGCGCTTTACAATTATTACCCTGTTCATCAGGCCATGGGACCACGCGGCGGCCGATATCAGCGCTCAATCGGTCCTCTACACTCACAGGTACCCATTTATACTCCTGGGTGGAGAGAGGCAATTGTAGTTAAGTGTCTTGCCCAAGGGCACAGGTTACAATTAATTACCCTGTTCATCAGGCCATGGGACCACGCGGCGGCCGATATCAGCGCTCAATCGGTCCTTGACCCTCACAGGTACTCCTGGGTGGAGAGAGGCAATTGTAGTTAAGTGTCTTGCCGAAGGGCACAGGTGCCATGGGGGGCAGGGTTGGAACCCACGCACCTTCGTACATGAGTCAAACACCGTAATCACTGAACCATGGTGTTCTAGTATGCCATCTGATGATGTCCACCCATCTGCATTGTCCCTTAAAGGCCTTTGCACACACACAGACTATCATCTCGCTTACCCATATTGAAATCAAGACAGGTCCACTGTTCAAGTGGAACCGGCCGGGTTTCATTGAACACGAATGGACAAGGCACACTGTTCACACAAGCAAGGGGAGTGTGTGGCCTAGTGGTTAGGGTTCGTGACTCATGATCAGAGGGTCCGGGGTTCGAATCCAGCCGCTGGTCATATATTGTGTCCTTGGGCAAGGCACTTCACCCCTACTTGCCCCTCTCCACCCAGGAGTATAAATGGGTACCGGCATTAGCTGGGGAGTAACCTGTGATGGACTAGCATCCCATCCAGGGGGAGTAGAAATATTCTCAGTCGTTTCCTGCTACTGAAACCGTAGATAAACGCCGGCCTGATGAGCCACATTGGCTTGGGACAGACTTTACTTTACTTACATGGGTCGAACACCGGTAGATCCTCTTAACCCTAGTCCTGACCAGGGTTGGATTTACCCATATCGAGGGTCGGACCCATCATGTAGATAGAAGCTGTGTTGGGTTCTCGCTTCCCAAAACCTCCGCGTTGGACCCGGGTCCAAAACGGCAACTGTAGGCACTGTGAAAGGCCCCATACTTAGTGAACTTAAAGTGCCAATGAATTTATTTAAACAGCAAATCCAAATCCTTGTATCGCAAGGTCTGACATCAGTCTTAGATCTTACTTGGGCAGGGTTCAAACTTAAGACCTGCTTACTAGTACAGATGTCTAAACCATTTAACCACTGACAAGCATAGCTTGCCGGTGTCAGCTGGCTGGTTCGAATCCTGATGTGTAACAGTGGGTACCGCAATTAATATATGGTATGATCATGAAATGTGTTTCTTGGTTGTTGAGTGGTAAAGACATCTCCACTAGTAAGCGGGAGGCCGCTGGTTCGAGTCCTGTCCAAGCAGGTCTAGGATTTTTTTTATTGTAAGCTCTTAAACAGCAATGAGTATACAGTGCTTAACCCTGGCGTAACCCTGTTTAAACGCTCTTGTTATCATTGTTCATTTCTGATTTGGCCCAGTGACATTGTGAGGCGACTGAAGCGCTCCAAGAGGCTCAACAACACAACCCTTGCCAGCGTCCTGAACCCAGATCTGGGGACGCTAGACCTGAGTGATGCCTACCTGACCATAGGCTCCCTCAAGATGATCATGACCGACAGCCCTAACCTCAGAGTGCTAAATCTCAAGTTCTGCGGGTATCTCATCAATGACGAGCTGCTGAAGAGATTGATGAAGGTATGCAGAGAACTGTTCCTGCATTTTGTTGTGCCCACGGACCCTTGAAAATTGTATGGATCAGAATCCTTTACAGACTAGGCGATCATCCCAATTTAGTTGTAGAGGTAGAAACCCTGGAGTGTAAATTTTCTGAAGAAAACTCATGTAATCAAGAAGGTAAGTAGGTGTGATGAATGTCTGAAATCGAAGGAAGGGATGGTTGGATTACATCGTTCGCTTGCTAACCAGTGCACATATATAGTCAGTGTCTTACTTGCTAGAGAGCTCTTATGAATGGTCACATAGCACCATCTGTGCATTTTTTCTGCACCAAGCTCATACTTGCCCTCCTTGCAAAGCTACAAAAAACCCTCTGTACTTTTTACACTTTTTGCTCTTTGCATGGATCACAATATTGGGTAAAATCAAGGCTTCACTTACAAAGGAAAGGCTCTTTCACAACATTACCTTGTAGCTCACTGATCTACTTTGTAGAAACTTATTCAAGACGCCAAAACTTGACAGTACTTTTGTCAACACACCTATGTACAGATTGTGTAGTTGTATATATGAAAAAACTCTCTCTAAATGCATCTTCGGTGGAGAGACTGTTCCGGAGTTTGCCTCAAGCTCCACCCACCTCTGGTTTGTTGTACATTCCTCACAGTGCCTGTGGCTGAGTTTGACGAAGCAGCTGTGGTCACCTGACCGAACGTCGTAGTCTAATTGGTCAATGTGCACTATTTGATTTACGGGAAGGATGGGTATTATTGCTTTAGTTTAATCATGTTACTCTATAGTTGTTTCTTGTCTTTTGCAGAATCTTCCCCTCCTGATCGACCTGAATGTCTGCCAGTGCACCCACCTGACCAGCCTGACCCTGCGCAATGTGGCCAAGCTCCTGCCGGGCATCCACACCCTGAACGTGTCCCGCATCCTGAACTTCAAGGAGGCGGACATCATCAAGTGTCTGGAGAGCTGCCTGGAGCTGAGGCACATGGACATCTACCAGTGCGAGCTGCCCTTCACAGACGGCTTCTGTGCCAAGCTGGCCGAGATCTGCCAGGCTAGGCCTAAACTGAAGATACTCGAGAAGTAGCCCATCGACGGTGTTATGGTTGAATCCATCACAAGTCTGGTTACAAGTAACAGGGGGTTGAGCAATAACAAAGGAACGCTTTTGTCACGGTTCACTGGAATAGCTCGTGGCTTGAATTCGGACTGGATGACTTGTGAGGACGTGTGAGGACGTGTGAGGACGTGTGAGGACTGTGGACTCGACTACAACACTGTCGATCAACTCTACAGTCCAAAATCAGACAAGGATGGTCATCCAGACTTATTACACTGCAAGGAGTGTGGAGTATCGTGGCCTCGTGGTCTGGAGCATTGAACTTGGGGTCTGCGGGTAATTCTACTGGGTGTGGGTTCGAGTCCAGCCTGGGGTCATGGTGCGTGTGCCCTTGGGCAAGGCACTTTGTCACTCATTGCTTCTCTCCACCCAGGAGTAAATGGGTACCTGTGAGGGCAGAGATGGTTATTGCGATTGAGTATATAGCTGCTTTGCGCCCCAAAAGGCAGCATCAAGCCGTATACTCCCCAGAGAGCTGAGATGGTATTTGGAATGTTTCATTGGCCCTTAATTGGCCAGGGGTTATAATGATGTAGCACCTTGAGCACCAATAATGGTGGATACGTGCGCTTTATTTATACACTTAATTGGGGGGGGGGGGGGTCAACCCTTACCCCTCTTGTCACTATGCCACTGATGCTGATAATTCAATAGTTGGATGACTGCCCGCCTCGTGCACAAGGCAAGAAAAGAAGATTTCAGTTAAGAGATTAAAGTTTTAGCAGATTTATTATTGATATGATTTCTTAACAGAGAGATATTTATTTGCTCCTTTCTGTATAAAAATAATGTTATTAAAAATTTTATGTAAAAGAACAGGTATGGAATGGGATTGAGGGGGCCATACTTTTTGTGTTATATATAATATATATATATTAAAATGTTTTTTTTTTTAAATTTGTTGATGAAATCCATTAAAACATAAATTGAAGAATTTATTTAAAGTTTGACTCTGTTTTTTTTTTTTGGGGGGGGGGGTTTGGGGTTTCGCAAAGAAATTGATTTTTATACCTGATTTGCCGACCGTATAACATCACTAATGTTTTAAGCCTTAAAACATTGAAGCCGAAAAATAAATAATACTAAATAAAGCATAAAGATAGGTAACAGATTTTTGTGTATTATACAATAGACCTCGTGTCTTGTGGGTGTCGAGGAGGGTGTTATTTGTTATTTTAATTTATTAATAAATGCACAAAAGGTTTACTCATACGTATTCTAGTGATGTGGGCGTCGTGGAGGGGTGGGGCAAGGGGCGGGGTGGGCAAAAGTTCCCCCGCCCACCCTTGAAAAAATGATAAATTGAGAATATGCTAGCGAAAGTACAAGGATTTTGAGAGCTTTGCCCCTCCCCCCCCCCTAGAAAAAAGTCCTTGCGACGCCAAAGCCTCGTTTATACACAAACGCTGCCCCCTAATACTGCTTAAGGTATTATTTAAAAAGGTGCTTCTAATTCAATGGGCGGAGCTTCCCGCAATATATTCTCACGCGCGTGTTCAGCATGCAAATAAGTCCGCGTGATGGTCTGATATGGCCAATTAAGTACATCAGTTGCGGGAACCAAGGAATATTTGCATGTGAATGACTTCCAGAATGACATAGATGCGGTATCTAGGCCTGAGAAAACTGTACGGCAAGAGAGTCCAGTGTGAAGATGGAGTCTTGCGAGGATGGCCTTTCGTTAATTCGTTCGTCAGCAGGAAGAAATCCATCTCTTTGGAATTCAATAACCCGCAATTGAAAGTCGACAATCAAATTGAAACCGGTGTCATATGAAATTTGGACTACTATGAAATCTGGTCTCTTTCACCTTGTATGTAGTATACGTGACCTTATAACTTTCCTGGTTATGTTCACCAATAGGCATGGGCAATACAACCAACGAGACCCTATTAAAGCCAAATTTCACACAACACCTGATTTGAAAAAAACAAAACAAGCATCTATATTTTTGTTTCAGGATTACAAAGTGTGATGTGGGAAATGTTAACCCCCCTCCTCCACTTCCGCCGCCTCTGTAGCCAGAGTTTATATCCATGGGCGTCGCGAGGGGGGGGGGGGGGGGGGGGCGCTTGCCCCCCTCCCCCTGGAAAACGGGGGGGGGGGAATATAAAAAAAGGGGGAAAAAAGAGGTGCGAAGCCATATTGCTGTTAATTTAATGGGGGGGGGGGTGGGTAGGGCAAATGCTCCCCTGCTCACGCTCGGAAAAATGATAAATTGAGAATATAATGAAAAATTTGCTTTGCCCCCCCCCCCCCGGAAAAAAATCCTGGCGACGCCCATGTTTATATCTTCAAATAAGCCGTATCACTGAGTGTTCCCCGTTTGCTATTTCTCAGGGTTGCAGCATTGCTAATATGAAGCTAGCATCATGATTTTGGGCGTGACCCCTGGCTGCATGGCATATACGGGTTTAAGGCTTCTGACTAGTGCCCCTTACACAAAGACATTGACAAAATGGGGAGCTCAGTTGGTAGAGCACCGGAACGGCAATCTGGAGGTCGGAGGTTCATACCTCGCTCAATTTAATTTCTTTGTTCAACTTTAAAATTAATTTTAAAAGAAAATAATTAAGATCCTCAAAATCATACTGCTGAAACCGTCAGGTAAAAAAGAGTGTGATGAATTGAAGTTTGTCTGTGATTAAAGGATACCCCTTGAAACAATCTGAATTCTGGATTGATGTGCACTAATATATTATATATCCTTGTAAGTTGTAATTGAAGAAAAAAATGGGGGGGGGGGAGAAGGAAATCAGTGCAGTGAACCCCACGGCAAAGGTAAAAGCAGTTCTGGCGACGGCCGCACGTTTCTCCTTGAACGACAGCAGGGAAAGCCATCTCCGCACCTGTGCACCCGTAATAAAACGACACGGACTACTGGCTCGAGTGTCGCACATGCCGTGAAAAGCGCTTTCATCCCACCAATCTCGACAGATGAAGGTCGCAGAAAAGAGAGAAATCTGCTGATTACGAGGACGCAATTAAATCTGTTCAGTCTTTGGCTTCTTGTCCGCCCTCTAGTGGTGGCAGTGGGAGACTGACGGGCGACAAAAGTGTGTCATAGTCTGTCGGGGCAAGTATTCTGCAGTATTAATCAGTATATGTAGCCGATATCATTTGACATTTGGTAATTGGTATATTATTTTGACGCCTGATGTTTGCTGCCATTTCTCTGAGAGTTGTCCATTATGCCATTTCAGGCAGAAACCTCACAGCTATTTCAGCACCACAAGCTGCCAGAATTTGGGATGTTTTAATTGCTGTCATAAATGTTCTTTTCTTGGGTGGTTCGATGTTGTGTCGGTACATGGCAGTAAGCCGATGAGCAATTTTTTCTGTTTCAAAGAGCAAATTTCTGGGTGCACAATTTGAACAGAAGATCCCTAAACTAAACAGTGTCTTCCTGACATGACATCACATCACAGCAATATCGCTCTCTGTCTGTCTGCAAAAGCATGGAATTTATTTCTAATTATTTAAAGAAGTGCGCTTTTCAATAATATTAACCAAAAGGGGATGTCAAATAGTTTTCACACATTTAAGAGGAGTAGAAAGTTGCACAAACTATGTTCCTCGGAAATACTCATGTCATTAACACATCTATAGCAATGAATGCATAACTAAAGTTTCACTCAAGCAATACAAAACCATTGCCCTCAGACCCCACCTAAACGCATGAGGTCTATACACAGTGGCCAAATCTGCCGTTTCATAGCATACCAATGATTAACTCAATCTTAGATGATCACAAAGGCACAATGGGTCATGCCATGTTAACACATTACTGTCTTTGTTTCCGCCTTCCCGCCTGAACTCATCCAAGATAAGATAGACATTTTTTTTCCTATTGGCAACACCTAATGGTTGACATTTCGTTTTAATGTTTAACAACCCTTATAAGTTGGCCCCAAATATGATTTTAAGATGCAAAATGTTCTATGTCATTATGACAGCACTTCTTATTATCCCGAGAATGACTGAAACGCTTTTTTTTTTGACAATATTGTCCAGCAACTTGAACAATGTGCCCTTATATTTCAAACATCGGTCACGTTGGATGTGACCCAATGTCAAAACACTATCTGATAGGAATGATGCTTCAGACATTAGGGTTTACGTAAATCCCCATTCACGTTTAAGACTTTCTGTCAAAGACGAAAGTACGTGTATTTAATACGCCCTATAGCTTCATAGTGTCTTATTCTTGTTTTTTTGTTTTCTGTTTTCTCGTTGAAATGTTTACTTTGATCATGTAAATTTTCAAGATGATCGTGTGGGCCTAACCTGAGAATATCTGCACATCATGGTGATCAGTATGCCTTAGCGATAGCTGAACGCTTTTTAAAAAGGACGTCCTGTTGTGTATTGGTCGAAAACATTTTTTTCGTGGATTTATAGGCCCATTTTTTGTGAATAGTCTTTAGTTACTCGACTCCCCCGGAAACTGGTTGTGAAGAGCGGACTTATGTGAGTACAATGGGCATATTGGCCGTGATCAACTATCATTTTCTCGCGATTGTAAAGCCATTAGCAGCATATCCGTGCCAATGCGTAACCATCTGCCTTCACTTATTTGCACTTTAATTCATTACCAAACCGTGGAGACTTGTAATTGGTCCGAGCAGCCATCTCCTGACCGGGACGGTAGCCCTAGTCCTCGGCCGGGGCTTTTCACACCACGACCCGTCGACTGACTCCCTAATCTCTCTCTCCACGGCGCATCACCGGGACCTGTCAACAGTCGCCAAGTGTTCCGTGATATCACAAGAAAGTCGACCCACAACAATTCGCACACGGGGTCTCCTATACTTCTTTTTACTCCCTCGTCCTTTTCTTTCTTATATCCTGTAAGTTCTTGTGCTGTATAAAGTCCGGTAAGCTTTACCAGTAATCCTTCGGCAGGGTGAGCTTGAAGCCTCAGGATTGGGAGCATATCACTCGTGGGGATTTGTAACCCCAGCTTGCGGTTCCTGAAGTTGGTCATTAGGGATGAGGGGCTTTTTGGGTTTCCACCGCCAGGAAAAATCAAATTTGAAATCAGGCTAATGCTAGCTTTCCTCCGATATTTGAACGGGACATTGTGCTAGTGGTGTATAGTCTCGGACATATCCTATACACGCTGTGAAAACCGGCGGAAGTCATTAAATATACCCACTTTTTGTTTTCAGCCAAAACAAATGTTTTGCCTGTTGGCCTGCAAAAACAAAGAACTCAGTCCCACCCATGTTGGTAAACACTCAGCCTTATTACAATGATGATAAGTAAGATTTGAGGCTTTGCATGGTGGAGATACTAAATAATGAAAGGTTTGCGGAAACACCATGTGCGAATAATTTCTCAACTAAGAGAATGGTTCTGAAAGAACCAGAGGTATAAACTCGACGTTCCGGTCAGTATGCTCTGACCGTCTTCAGGAAAGTGGAGACGGTCAGAGCATACTGACCGGAACGTCGAGTTTATACCTCTGGTTCTTTCAGAACCATTCTCTTAGTTGAGAAATTATTCGCACATGGTGTTTCCGCAAATCTTTCATTATTTACAATGATGGGAGGGGAGGGGGAGGGGGGCTGGTACCCACCTTCCAAAATAATGGGG